GCCGATTTTGATGCAAAGCATTGAACAACGGTAATCGCTCTCAAGATCTGAGTTTTAACCCGGCAAGCGGTGGGCCTCCCGGCTACCTTCCGCGCGGTGGGAGGGGGGGATTTTTGACCCCCCCCCCCCGAATCTCCGAAGCTACTATGACGGATCGGTAAAATTTAAATGGCGTTCGATAGCCTTGTTAAATTTGTCGAGGGAACTTCAATTTCATTGACCTCGGGGTCACCGATGACATCACAGGCCAAGTCAAAGATAAAATGTTTCACCGTTCACGGGTCTTTTAAGGAATGCGCTGCAACATCGAGTAAAGGGCATTTTGTCAAAAATCAGCGATAGGGCGTGAGTTGCCTATTATACGAGCATATGTTGCTATTGGAGGTCACTGATAATACCAGGTCCGATCACCAAGGGTCAGCACATGAACCTATCTTTACTAAGTAGGGTTGTGCGATGCATGTTTTATGGCCAATTTTTCATATTCGCCTCAATGGTGTTGGTTATAAGACCATCAGGGACGGTTTTTTTGGTCACTTTCTGGTGGAGGTCAGGTCAATGTCAGGTCAAAAAGGTCAAATTTCAGGTCAAAGTTGATAGTTTCGCATAAAATTGGTATTGATTCGATGCCACTCGTCACGGCGAGTCTAATGGTGGTCTTTGTTTTGCGCTTTGTGGTCTAGAATTGCCAAAATCGAGTTTGAAAATTTGACGTCATTAATTTTGAACAGTTTTGCTATTGGAGGTCACTGATAATACCAGGTCCGATCACCAAGGGTCAGCACATGAACCTATCTTTACTAAGTAGGGTTGTGCGATGCATGTTTTATGGCCAATTTTTCATATTCGCCTCAATGGTGTTGGTTATAAGACCATCAGGGACGGTTTTTTGGTCACTTTCTGGTGGAGGTCAGGTCAATGTCAGGTCAAAAAGGTCAAATTTCAGGTCAAAGTTGATAGTTTCGCATAAAATTGGTATTGATTCGATGCCACTCGTCACGGCGAGTCTAATGGTGGTCTTTGTTTTGCGCTTTGTGGTCTAGAATTGCCAAAATCGAGTTTGAAAATTTGACGTCATTAATTTTGAACAGTTTTTTTTTTGTTATAACTTGGCAAAAAGGAGTTATCGATCTAATACTTGGAATGTGAATAGAAGTCCATAGTGGCTATTACATATATTCCGTTTGTTTCGAAAATCGAAAAACTTTTGGGATTTTTTGGCTATTATATCTATTTCTTTTTATTTTTGGGGTCAACTTCAAAAACAAAATCGAGAGAACAGTATAGTAGCCCTGGTAATTCTACACATTTCATGTCTTGAACATTTTTATGCATAATCAAATTTATAGACCTGACAGCTCTTCCCGCGAAGCTTTTTTTTTGGTCGACAATGGCAGAAATGACGTCACTCCGACGTAGCGGCCAACTTATCATAGCCTTTGGAAAAAAAATTTGGTCACAATGTGCAAAAGGGTACTGAAAGTTTGGTGAAGATCGGCGCAGCGGTTCTGGAGATATATCGAAAAAAAAACTAAAGATGGATGCAAAAAATGCCCCCCCCCCCCCACCGCCTTGAGGGTTAAGCTAGATCCTTTTTTTGCATGGGTGGACTCTACAGGGCTACCAAACTGATTTCGGACTTTCGAAATGTTGAATATTTTGAAAATTATAAATATAAAAACTCAGAAATTGTATTTTTTTATTTTTTTTACATATACGTTTCTGAATGAAAAAAAGCAGAATATGACCACGTTTCCATGGGCATCACTGATCCGGATCAGTAAAAATGGATTAGCTAATCCAGTATAGTTAGACAATATATGAAAATGAAAATAAGGGATTAACTGATTATATAAGCCTAATCCACTTGGAATTATATCATGTAACGAAGAGTTCGAGAAATATAATACGATTTAAGTTTGCTGATCCGGATCAGTGATGCCCATGGAAACGGGGTCTATATGTGTTTGAACACATATGCGTTGAATATATGTGAACTTCATCTGACAAACACCTTTTTTGTTGAAAAATGTCAACTTCAAAATTTGACCATTTTTGACCTAAAGTGACCTGACCTGACCTCAGCTATATTCAGCTAAAATGGCCTAAACTGACACATACAACACTGATTTCGATATATATGGCCTACATGAACCATAAAACATGTCTCACGTCACCGATGCACGATATAAAGCTTTCGTGACCTGGGATGAGATGGCCTTGACCTGAAAAATTCGAAGTACAAGTTCGGTACCCTCAGGTTATGTTACGCATATATTCACGAGTGTGCAAACAAAAAATGAGCCTGATCTGATTTGTTGGCCGGCGCCCAGAGTGCCAAGACGCTGATATTTTTACTTTGACCTGACCTGTGACGTCATCGATGACCTCGAGGTCAATGACATTAGGCTTCGCTCAACAATATTTCCAGGGCTACCAGGGGCCGTTTGAATTTTGACAATCGGCCCAGTAGTTTCGGAGTTAGGAGCCCCCCCCCCCCCCACTGTAACGTGCTGTAACGTGCTGTGGGGCGCGTTAGAGCACATACCCCAGTGAGGCGTGGGTTAACAAATAAAAAAACACGTTGATTTCCGACGCTGGGAAATGCCCGCAATGATACCCACCCCACCACCCTCCCCCTACCCGGTCCAACAGGGTCTCAAGGAAATTCAACAACATGAACCGAAACAAAGGCTGCGATCTTTGCTGGAAATGGCACTCGTGAGATAAGTATTATTATGCTGAAGATACAACGACTTACTTGTTATTTCCGAGTATCCTCCACCGTCAGCTACGCTAACCACCCACACAATCACCGTTCAAATATTTAAAACCACGGAGCACCTTCACAACGCCGGCGCGCGGCCGGAACTGACATGGCGGCGCCGCTGCAGCAGAGTCAGACGCACGTGGATTGTTAGTAAGGGTGTAGTGTTGTCATGGTGTTGCCATGGTATACCTTACCATAGCAGCAGAAGCACACCCAGGGAACTGTTGCAAGAAATTTCTGGCCTTTCGTCCATAAAACTATTAATTGCTCAGGGTCTCAGCTAGTCCTTGGATAACGCTCCTTCCAACATATCAAAAATTGGCAAACACCTCTATGGAAAGGAGGAGACTTGATCGCCGAATTCACCTGCTGGATCCGCCCGTGGAAAGGTTGATTTTACTATGGTAGGGAATATTAGCTTACGAGGGTATCTACTAGCCTCAGGTGGTTACCACCTTGTAAACTGGGGTACAAAACCACCCCTGATAAACGTAACCATGGTAATATCAACATGTCAAGGCAGGATAGTATTCAGCACCATAGTAGGCTGGTAGTAATATGATGGTAGGCTGATGGTAAAATTTACCAAAGCTAGTAACTTAGTAAATTGATGGTAAAAACTTTTTTCAGTGAATGTAGCCCTGTAGCCCATCATTGTTGAGTGGCTTCTTAGTTTTTGGAGTTGTAGTGCTAAGTAAGTTATTCTGATGACTACATTTTAACTTTTATTAACAAACTAATGATGCTAGAGATTCTCTGATCTTTTTGGTTGCGGAATTTTTATGAAAACCCTCCTATGTGTCAGTGTGACATGATGCGATATTGAATAATTCTCAAGATTCCCAAAATTCAATATCAAGTAGGCTTTCCTTCACATTGCTTAAATTTGGTTTAGTTTTTGTATTTTCCCAGTGGGTTTTGTTTGCATCAGTTTCCAAATTTTCTTAAATTGACATTAGTCGCAAAACCCATAGTGCACAAAGCTCTTGGCCCGGCCCGTCCATAGCCCGTTAACTAATGATATTTGGGGGCCCGGCCCAGCCCGTAGCCCAGCCCGGCCCATGGCCCGTTGGGCTGGCCCGGCCCGTGGCGAACACTGATGTGCAACAGGCAGCCCGCGGCGTCGGCGACGGCGGCGGTGAGGAGTTGGGGAGGGGGGGGGGGATCGTCACGTGCGGAGCTCTCAGTGGGCGTGTCCCGCGGCTCCCCTGATGGCGCTGGGATAGTGGAGATTGTCAGGAGCAGTGCGCCAGTGTTTGTGCTGCCGGAGAGAGAAGACTTATGAAAAACAGATTGGTCGGCTAGGTGGAGTTATGGCACCTGTTATGCATTTTATGACTGAATCATTGTTCTGGATTGTGCGGTGCATAATCAAAAGTCTCCTAGGAAGCTAGGCAGCGAAGGTATTCGGAGGTTACGATGGAATTTAGGCTTTTAAAGACCAGAGGTCGGGAGGTTTTTTGTATATACAAGATTTGTTGCAAGCTGATGTAAATTTTGTATCCTGAGCTGTCTGATGAATTCCAACTTGAATCGTCAGCAGAGTCCAGCAAGTCCACAGCTGAGCGACGCTCCCACTCTGGTCTGTGACGTCATCGGTGACTGGTCTCCACCACCGATGACGTCACGGCTGGGGAGAGGCTCACGCATAGCTCTGCCACGCGCCGGCCCGAAGGCTGACTGGCGCCGAGATATAAGGGCGACTCCACCCACGGCGCCGCCGCCGCCCCCGCCACCGCCGCCGCCGCCGCCGCCCCCGCCCAGATTGGCGGCCGGTTCCGGTCGCAGCAGCCCACACCCCGAGCCGCTCATTGTCCGACAGCTACACAACCACAGCTGTGGATGTGGTCTAAGTCTGACGGACAACATCCTGTCCGACTTTATCGACAGTGCTAGAATCCATGCGGTGCTGCTGTCACTGCTTCAATAGCTGTGAGTTAGCTGATCAAATCAGTGCACTGAGAAAAATCAACATTTATCGACCGCCTGCCAACCGCAGTCCGCGCGTGAGACGCGTCAGGTGGGGTTCCTCTGTGCCGCAGCGCGTGTCATCTCCTGCTGTATTTACTCAACACCTTCTCGCTGTGACGTCAGAGACGTACGCGTCCGCCGCGACCCAGCCGGCCAGTCCAGGCGGCCGCGTTTCGCAAACGGTGCCGCACAGTCTCGGACCGGTGCAGTCGTTTACGCAGTGAGTCGTTGACCGGTGTCTTTTCTGTGTGTTCTACAGGTGTCTGCGGGCGTGCGGACCGCCTAGAAGTGCCTGTACGGCGGACGGGACCTCACGATGAACGGCAAACAAGGTATGTTGACTCGGTGACAATCTTATCCACCGCGGCCGTCGTCGCCGTCGTTCGGCGTCTCATGCGGGCGCCGTCGGCCGTGTGTGAACCGTGTGTAAAGTGGGCGAGGCCGCCGCTGGGCCTCGTCTGTTTGTACGAACATGTTTGTATAGGCGAATGGCCGATAGACGGTGTGCCAGTGTGTCGGAGTTCGTGTACGATTTCCACGTGTCGGGCCGGAGCTTAGGATAACGGCATTTATATCAAATTTGAGACATGAAGTTTCTGAAAAATGAACATGTTTTTTCAGCTACCAGCATTACGTTATTGTTGAATAGCGACAACTATTATGCCTAGTGGTATGCTGAAATACCTTGCCATCAGTGCCTATTGCCTTGCACAACTGTAAGAATCGTATCCTACGCTTTTCTCTGCCGAGTTCCCGCGTCCCTAGACCCCACTGCTGCCCTGCGGCGCAGTCTACCTTCAGGCATTTTTGGTGCTGCCATCTATGTGCAGCAAGCAAAATTATTTTGCCGGGCGTTGTTATTGGGCTGATTTTATTGTAGCTTTTTAGTCTTTAGATATGATTTTTAAACTTGATAATCTATGACTTGCCTCAAAGCAGGCATACTTGAGATATTGTTTTCCTGATTTCATATTCAATTTTGCTAAGAGTTCCCATTTCTGCTTTTGTCCGACGGCAGCATGCGCATCCGTTTGGCACTCGTCTGGCAGAAGAAGTCTCCTTCACTGGGCCCTCAGCTCTATGCCCACACTTCGCCCCGGACCACGGTAGTTGAACTGGAGGCAGAGTGCAAACACCAGCCAAGGCTAGCTTCGGTACACCGGAATACAAAACCAGCCATGCTCAGCACACTGCTGAAGGAAACGGCGCTTTTTATCAAGCTGCGTGTTATATATTCGTCAGAACCGCTCTTGTTCGCTAGAATAACAAGATGTTGTTTAACGCTTACGTTTTTGTGGAAATAGAGACATTTTTCACTCTAGTCTATGTTAAGCTTACCTAGAGATCAACTAGGATGGTTTTATGCGATACATGTGCCTTACCACTTATCTTTAATAGCTCATCGATGATGTCAATCAGCCTCTGGTCGCTGTTCCTAATATCAAGAGCGACCCACGCACAAATTACCATAAACATGAAGAGGTTTTGAATAAAGCAATTTTAGATTGACACTCTGCCAATCAGAATTTAGGGATTAGTCGAGATAAACCACAACACTTAGTCCGTTATTCATACGTGAATGATTGGTGTCGAAACCTGTTCCGTTAATCACGGCTAAACATAGCACTCTAAAATGGAAGTTGTGGTATCGTACAGTTTCCTTAGTAGAGCCTTCAATTTGCATTTATTCTTTCCATTCTAGGAATGACTCAAACGTAAACTTTATATTTTTATGAAATCTGCGTATTTTATGACTTACACACTCACAGTGCACTCCTGCTTCTTCGATGTCGTGCGTCATCAGGCGTCGATTCAAATCCATCGTTATCGAGACAAAACACCCATAGAATGTCTGAAGTATTAACGGTATTGACATGCCCTTTCATTTGTCCTCTAAGACACATACGAGTATATCTAGCATTGTTTCTGCAAATGAATGTACCTGCACACGCGGCTGAGCGGATGTCACCTCGATTGACCCGGGAAGTCACAGCAGGTGTGCTGACTCTGGATGTAACTACTGACATACGCCACACTGCTTCTCCGTCCATCAGAGGAGAGAGCGAGACGAGACAGCGCCCACCTGTCTCGGCCAGCTGCCGCATCTCTCTCTCTCCCTTCTCTCTCTCTCTCTCTCTCTCTCTCTCTCTCTCTCTCTCTCTCTCTCTCTCTCTCTCTCTCTCTCTCTCTCTCTCTCTCTCTCTCTCTCTCTCTCTCTCTCTCTCTCTCTCTCTCTCTCTCTCCCTCCCTCCCTCCCTCCCTCCCTCCCTCCCTCCCTCTTCATCCACTTGCAATGCTCTTATTTGCACATATGTCTAAATGACCTCTCTGGAAGTTAGGATCATCATTTGACCGCAGATGAATATTTCGTCTACCGTTTTCCCTTGATTGCAGGCATGGATCGAAGTTACCATCAACATAGTAGAATTCTGTCTGTAAAGACTCAAGCGATTCTTGATTGTAAAACGTATATTTTTATTTAGGGCATTGATGACGATATTTGACCATGCCTACCCTTAACATCATAGAGTCAACGTACATCTGTCTTCAATATTCGTTGTTTTCCCTGGAAGATCACGCTCGGATAATTTCTGATATCTCCAAACAAATTTCATTCAATCTGCAAGTAACCCAGCGGAACCGTGCACTTATTGCACGCAGTGGTCGCAGCTAATCCGTCATCTTCAATTGCCGATTGACAGAAGTCGTTTGTAGCGTTAGCGGCTCTGATGAGGACTGATCAATGACATCACCTGGTGTCAGCATCAGTCGTGGGAGGCGGTCACACGACGAACCGAGTGTCTAACGAATTGGTGACAGACGCAGAGACTGATCTCAGGAGGATGATGGACGCACTTTTTGTTGACTGTAGGATGTGACCTGCTTGTGTGATAAGGACTGTCGACAGCCACTTTAGCCACTTTATCGATGCAGTCAATGTTGTCATTTGTAGAGACCTGACGGCAGTGTCTTTGAACTCAAGTGCAATTAGATGCCTGCTGGTATTTTAGAACTATATGACCAGTATAACGCCTTTTGGGGCGACTAACGGAGCGAGCGAGAGGGTGGGCCTTGCACGTGCGAAATTGCGAGGGGGTACCTCCAACTGACTTGTGCATGGCACCCTACTAACCGGTCTCTAGCGATGTGCCAAATTTGGGCAAAATCGGCCCAGCCGTTCTCGAGATCTGGAAGCGGCACCCTGCACGTGCGCACGTGCAAAATGGGTCCCAACTGACTTGTGCACGGCACCCTACTAACCGGTCCCTAACTGTGTACCAAATTTGAGGGTAATTGGTCGAGCCGTTCTCGAGATCTGGAAACGACCCCTGCACGTGCGCACGTGCAGCAGCGCCCCAACTCTGGCACATGGATATGCAGTGCCTAGTGGGTGCCTACCTACATGCCAACTTTCAGCGCAATTGGCCAAGTAGTTACCGAGATAGTGCAACAATTACAAAACGGACACCTCTTCGTTTTGCACGTGGCACGTGCATAAGGGGTCACCCACATGCATCAGGAATAGTCCAATACTTGGTAGAAGGAATGAAGCTACCCTACAAAAATTACTGCGTGTAAATCGGTCAAGTGGTTGCTGAGATATAAGCCTCGCAAAAGCGTGACCACGGCCGGCCGGCCGCTCATACTCAGAAATTTCCGTTAATCTAAGGAATATACAGGGTGATAAAAAAAAATGGAACCCCTAACTTAAAATGTCTATAAGTCAGAAAATTTTCACTTTGTTGATAAATTGTACACGCCATTAGAAAGAACGTTCAATTCTCTATAAAACCAAGTTGATTGTAGGGTAGCCTGGGGCAAGACGCCCCAGATAATTTATTTTGCTACATAACTTTTGTCCTACTTCACCTGGAAGGCCAAATTTGTGCTCAATGCGTTCTTTGGACATTTTACTTTAAATTCCGCCCCTCAAATTCATTCACTTATGATCGGGCTCCCAGCTATGAAGTGATTTGTGAAGCAGCTGCAAATGGGGCATTTTGCCCCAACCCCAGGGCAAAACGCCCCACGGCCCGGGGCAAGAAGCCCCATTCTCTAGATTAAAAATTAAATATGCTAGTTGACCAAATCTTATATGAGAGGTCCGTTAGACTTTGGGAGGCACGGCACTGAAGTTAGCACCTTCCATCCTATCAGGTGTTCAGCTATGAAACTATTGTATGAGCAGGTTTTTCACCTGCCTCATAAGGCCAAATAATAAATTATTGCCATGCAACTGTCAACCAAATACTTCCTTTGCCATCCGGTTGCTGAGAAAACTACACATAAATGCATAGAAGCTTACTGTTTGCCAGCTACCGAACATTAGGAAGTGGGTAGTACGAACAACACATGAGGCAAAACGCCCCATGGGGCTTTTTGCCCCGCGACCTACTGGGGCGTTTTACCCCATCACGTAGTTCGGTCAGAAAACAACGCCTTGCACTCCAGCAAGACATAATTTAACACGAACCAACCCGGCATTATAAGCGTGAGATAATAGTTGTTCAAAATACATAAAAGTCGTTAACCTGATGTGCACCATAAAAGAACGCCATGATGCATAACCTGACAACAAAACATAAAAATCACTCCAAAAACACATTTTTGGCTATATCTCCCTAAGGAGTCATCACAATTTCTTTCCAGTCTGGTCATATATATATAGTGCACGTTTTATAGAAGAGAGAATATTTCCCCAGATCCTTGCCAGTTCCGAGAAACATCGGTGAGGCGTTTTACCTCGGCGGGGCGACTTGCCCCGGTCTACCCTACTTACTTATTATTATAAATATTGCCCTAGACATATGCCTATAAAATTTGTGTCACGAAACTCAGTGAAACGGTTTTGAACATACTATGCGCAAATCAGTGATTGACGGTTTGCTGTTCTGACCATGTCGCTTGTTGGAGGTTCATGAATAAAAATAGCTCATTCACGTGCTATTGTGAGGAAAGAAAAGACTGACGGCCTGCTGGGACCAGTTTCCCAGAGACTGCTGGCCCGCACAGTCGGAGCTGTCCCCAAGCAATTGCAGGCCTGCGTGACGGCCCCCGGAGCTCGCCGTTGAGCACATGCTGTGATGAACAGCGGAAGCTAGGGCGCGTGTATCTGTTTTACTGTGTGCTTCTGTGTTAACTTTTATGAAATAAAATTGAATTTGGATGTGGTGTTATTCGCAAAAAGACAACAGATAGAGTGCTAACGGATTTCAACGCATTGTTAACATTTGGCGATTTCGTTTCACTCAGTTTTCTGACGTTCATTCCAAAAGCTAATAGTGTGCCAATGCTTTACAACATACATTCACCAATTTGACGTGATTTTATAGAGGATTTATTGCTCTTTCTAATGGTGTTCGCAATTGGTCAATAAAGTGAATACTTTCGGACTTAGAGACATTTTAAGTTAGGGGTTCCAAATTTTTTGGATCACCCTGTATATTCCCGACCGGGGCTGGGAAAATGCGTTTTATTCACCGAGGTTTTTGTGCGGAGGACCGAGTGCCGGTAGGCACGAGCAAGATTACTTTACTACTCGGCACGAGGTCCGTAGCAAAAAACCGAGGTGAATAAAACTGCATTTTCACAGCACAGCCCAAGGTTGGGAAGAGATTTACCACATGCCGTACCGGCGCAACAGTTAATATCATATTCATTTGATATTTTACACTTTAATCTTAATATTGTGTTAATATTATATAAATACTATGTTAATATTTATAGTCACCGTGATTATTTGTTTGTGTTTTTCATTATTAGGCTGCGTTGAGTATGAAATGTGAAGTTCCTACTTCCCCCTTATTTAGGGTTTGAAAAAGCTGAGGATGAAGATGGTGAAACGCCAGAAGTTAGAATAAAGATATGGAGTCCAGCAGGAGTGAGGAAACCGTGAGGAAAACTAAAAATTGAGTGAAACGCTGAATCAAACGCGTCTTGGATCCCAGCTGGAACAATATCAAATGTTTCATTGTGGCACGTTTAGATGCTTCACGCATTTAAATTGTTCGTTTTTTGCGTGCATTATGTAGAAATAATGATTATTCCGACCATGTTCTGCAGCAATAAATACATTGGCATTGGAACGATAACCTTGTTTAGTTGAATTACGTTGACAGCAAAAGTATGTAAACACGCAGTCACTTACTTTTGCTGTTGCTGTTAGTGAACACACAATCCATAAATATCTTCTTTGAAACACGGTCGTCAAGTTAGATGTAAGTGAATCCTAATCTATAATCTAAGATTCGGAATCAGGTGAGCCCCTACGATTTGGACCAAACTTGGTCAGTGGATAGTACGTAACGTCCTGATTACGATGCACCCAAAATCTAAGCTCGGCCCGCCATATTTACGAAGTTACGAATGTTTTAATTTCAAGGTCATTCTGGAGAGCCCCTACGATTTCCGTCAAAATTTGTGTACGGACACACTAGATGCTCCTCATTACGAATATCACAAAATTTAAGCTCGGCCCGCCATATTTACGAAGTTACGGAGGTTTGAATTTCAAGGTCATTTGGGTGAGCCCCTGCGATTTCCGTCAAAATTGGTATACGGACATATTACATCCTCCTCATTACAAATATCATAAAAGTTAAGCTCGGCCCGCCATATTTTTCAAGTTACGGAGTCACAAAGTTACGGAATTTCAAGGTCATTCGGAGAGCCCCTCCGATTTTCGTCAAAATTTGTATGCGGACACATTACATGCTCCTCATTACGAATATCGTAAAAGCTAAGCTCGGCCCGCACTATTTCAAAAGTTAGAGCTGTTTGAATTTCAGTGAGTTTCAAACGTCAGTAACTTTTGAAATAGTGCGGGCCGAGCTTAGCTTTTACGATATTCGTAATGAGGAGCATGTAATGTGTCCGCATACAAATTTTGACGAAAATCGGAGGGGCTCTCCGAATGACCTTGAAATTCCGTAACTTTGTGACTCCGTAACTTGAAAAATATGGCGGGCCGAGCTTAACTTTTATGATATTTGTAATGAGGAGGATGTAATATGTCCGTATACCAATTTTGACGGAAATCGCAGGGGCTCACCCAAATGACCTTGAAATTCAAACCTCCGTAACTTCGTAAATATGGCGGGCCGAGCTTAGATTTTGGGTGCATCGTAATCAGGACGTTACGTACTATCCACTGACCAAGTTTGGTCCAAATCGTAGGGGCTCACCTGATTCCGAATCTTAGATTATAGATTAGGATTCACTTACATCTAACTTGACGACCGTCTTTGAAACTGGTTCTTCCGCTCAGAATATTCAGTAAAATCTTGTCTGGGAAAATCAAAAAGCCCTAGGGCCGAATCGTTTCCCAAATACCTTCAACATTAGCCGAGGCGGGCCGAAGCCATTTCCCAAATGCACGTGCTAATGTTAAAGGGATATCTCGGCATGTGGTAAAGACTACGCTCGCTTCGCTCGCTCCGTAATGAAAATTTGAAACGTTGAAGTGTCAAATTCCTTTCCTATGTATAGGAAAGGAATTTGACACTTCAACGTTTCAAGTTTTCAGAACAGTTCACATTTTGTTTCGATACTTAAAAGAAAAAATTACCGGTTGGCCCAGATGGTCGCCATAGGACAATTCTTACGCCTTCCGGCCTTGTTTCTGTAACTTCTCACTAATAAATTTCAGTTCTTCACTTGTCTTTAGCCGTTATCATACCCAGCTGGTATCTTCCGATGGCCAGGGGATACTATGGTGTGGACTGTGGAGAGCCGATATTCAGCCATGCAGAGACGCCTTCTCCATTTGCAGAACCAGCCGCTATCATCATCATGTCATGCATGCATGTTTTATAGCACGAATGTCTACCGTACGTTAACTCTCTGTGTGGGATGCTTCACCATTTGTCCGGCGTGTGCCACCGTCTTAGCTGACCTCATACTGGCTGCACCACGGGGCTGGTTTAACTGTCCGTCTGCAGCCGTGCAAAAGAAACAAAAATCCGCGGCCCGAAAAAGGAGTAATCTATTCATTAATCACCATTTTCATCGAACTGTTCAACAGCCGTCGGAACATTGCGAAGTTCTGCATTGCCTCGCGATTCTCATCGCTACGAAACACTTTTCTTGTTTCCATCGCTTCGCGTTGAACAAGTAGCTTGGGACTGTGGATAAATCCCTGAGATAGAGACGTGTGAAAATTGGGATAGGACATGTCAAAGCCACCAGGCATACCGAAGGCTTACGCCACTTTGAGTGGGTAAAAAGTCCATCTGTTGATTTGTATAGCGCGCTGTGTCATTCAATAACCGTTACCGCGGCCGACCAAACGACCTTACGATCTAATCTCTGCCCCAGTCGAGCTGGTTTTTATCCACCTACTTTGCAGATGAATGGAGTAAATGAAACGAGGGCGAAGACATGTGTGGGGTGGAATAGATCAGTGGTGTTGGTGGGCAAGGTTTTAGTTTCATGATTACTTGCCAGTTTTGATTGAATGTTAGGGCAAGCTTTTTTGTGCGAGATGTCCAAAAATAGCGCTTTAAATGAACGCATAGTTGACGCAGACCTATCAGTCATCTGCAAACCTACATCAGGTGCACGTTTATCTCTCATCGTCACAGCTTGCTTTCACTGTATTGCGATCGTTCCGATCGTTCTGGGCCGGCGTCGCCCCCTCCTCTGTGACGGTCACGCAGGCTCGTGTGAGCTGAGTATGCAGATCACCGTGTCGGTGCGTGACCTGACCTCACGTGACCTCTCGTGACCGGCCCCGCCGCCGTGGTGTCTCCAGTGGTGACCTCAGCTGACGGGGTCACGTTTGATGATTCTTGATCGCGGTTGAGCAACGGCGACAGCTGGTGGGTCGATAGGAATGCTTTCTCCAGCCGCAAGCTCACAGAACAGGTCACATCACGTAGCCGCGGGCATAGTGATGGATGATGACCTTTGAGGTCATGAACGGAGTTGTGTGTCGGGATGTGCAATGTGCGTGGTGTTTAGGTGCATCATGTAGCGGAAAACGGTGGCATTATCTAGTAAAGACCACCATCTTTCGTCGAGCCAGATTGTTTTTCTTCTACTCATTCCGTCTTTAATCAGTTTTCGCAACACCAAAGCATCCACTAAGTCACATAACATATGTATGTCCCATGTAACACTCAGTCACATAACATCATTCCACTAAGGCACTAACGTTTGCAATTTGCATTATCACGTGGTCCAGCTGTTTCGAACGTTTTAAATGAAAATAAAGGATGGTGTTTTTTTGATTATTTTTGTTGTCGCTTTTCTTCATACTTTCTGTCTGACCAATATCCCTCCCTCTCCGTGTCTCCGGCAGGCGGCGAGGCGCTGTCATTCAGCCGCACCAGCCGCAGCTACAACTCCCTGCCGCGTCACCTACCCAGCTCGTACTCTGTCCCGTACGGCTACAAGATCGACCTCGACTTTGTCCGCTTCTGTGACAGCTACTATGACAACCGGGACAGCCAGCGACCGGCCAGCCGGCTGCGGCGCACCAAGAAGAGTCACAAAAAGTCCTACAACACACTGCTCGGACTGCACAAGGAAAAGGCCGACAAACCAAAGTCCATCAGCCCACCGGCACAGGTAAGCAGGACAACGGGGGTCGTTGGTCTGGGTTGGTCGGTTGTGGTCGGCTGGTCTGGGCTGGGCCCAACTCATGTTCCTGATTTGTGACATGGAAGTGGCGGACGTAAGTTGCCTTTAAATTACTCCCAAACAAATATCACGCTATTTCCTCACATGTTTTGAAGACAGTCATGTTGACACGAACCGTGGCTCATGTTTGGAGCATTTATGAGAAGATAAAAGAAGTAAATACTTCAGCAATGAAATAAAGCAATTACCCCGAGGCTAGTCTGAATCCTCACGCCGCTCGCCATATGATACGCCCCTGCCCATCGGTCCCCCACCCATGTAGCCTGTGCCGATGACGGACGCGATGAGACGGTGGCAGCTGGGCTACCGGGCCGCCCTTCTCGTCTCCTCCACATCACAATGTCTGGCCGGGGCCGTCAAACTGCGTCAGTTGGCCGCCTTTCAGGTGTGACGGGTGTGACCCGTGTGCTGTGATGTGATGTGATGTGATGTGTGACCTCCAGATATGCGGTGTTTGTGCCGCTGATGTGACAGTTTAATCCCCCAGAGATGCGTTGGTTTGATCTCCAGAGACGCGTTGGTTTGATCCCCTGTGACGTGTTTGATCCTACCTACTTATCGCGTACTGGCCTCTTGTAGTGTGTGGACTTGTTGCATCACAAGCGGGACTTGTGAGTGTGTATCAGCCGCATGCTGTGAGTGAACGTTTCGAGATGGTAGCTAACAAGATTAGAGTTATTGCTGATTGCCACAGACCGTAACATTCCATCGATTGGACCTATGTGTGTCGTTTTGTGTGCCATCCAGCATGCAAGCGTGATTGTGAATGAGTCTTCTCGGCGTGTCGTAACGTTAATTGCTCTCATTGTCTTACTATGCATGCTTTCCACCCAGATAAGGTAGAAAGCGACTCGTTTGTTATTCGACTGAAGTCAAATGGATCGAGGTCGGAATTTGTACGATTTCCATTCATTCTTATTCATCCACTTACTGCAATTAAAGTGCTGAAGCTATGCTTCTAAAATGCCGCCAGTTTTTGTGGGCAACTCCCTTTTACACAAATGGCATTGCTGCTGCTGATTCGACCTTTTCGTTCACTACTACCATTACACTTATGTTTGGTATCTTTGTAAGGAGATTGTAAAGACACGGGGTGCCGTCATCAGTCATTGAAGGCATTGGAAGTCTGATGTTCATGGGCTCTCAGTCGGCTCTGAGTATGTCGTAGCAGTTTAATTACGATCGAATCACGCGTGGGGCGCGAAACGAATCACATCCAGAAGGCGAAAACAGTGGCTCGCATGGGTAGGAGGGAATGTTAAGTCACGCTGGCATTTATCCTCCACTTATGTATGAGATTAAAGTTGGTGCTAATTCTACATTCATTCGACATCACCTTTTCTGCAAAGTGATGTAGCAGAACTCTCTAGTGCAGTGAGTCACATCACGATGCAATGTGCGGTTTCACCTAGCCTGGGAAGTGGGTAATCCACCGCCGACCTCTGGGTCAAACGATGCCCTGCTCTGACCCTTTCAGACGGTGCTCTATTTCACGACATTGTCTGAAAGCAGGAACAAAGCCGGCTCTATGGATTGCTCCGGTGCGCCGGCCAACCGATTGTTACGGCCTCATTAACCCCGCGGGGCTAGTGTCACGCACCCCCGGAGAGCAGGTCACGTGGGACCCGGCGGGGCGGCACTGGTGGACGTCCAGCTCCGTGGGGAGCTGCTCCCAGCGTCCGGCGCTGGACAGCACGTGCTTGGCAGCCACACGGGTCAGTGAAGGGACCTCGCCCTCGGCTGATCGAGTGCGGCAATTAGCGCGCCTCCGTGCCGGCGAGAGGCACTCAAGGAACTGCAGCGCTGCATTCCCACTCAGCCGGGCCATGGGAGCAAATGTAGACTGTGCGTTCTCAACGTGAATGGGATTCTAATTACGTCGCGGCACAGAAGACACTAGCCACTTTGCGTTTGAAGGGATTGCGAACTGTGCTTTCAGCCGCTGGCGTTGGTTGATATTATTCTGCGATATTTGACAGATATTCGGAATCATCGAGACCGAATAAAATACCGCAGCACTTTATATTTCAACATCGCATCTCTCGGCCCACAAACTAAGCCGGTGCCCGTCCTACCGTCCGGTCCCTTCTTACCAAACCAACTTTTTATATCATCCTCTCTCCTGTCCAACAGGTCACCACTACCGCCCTTGCCACTCACCGCTCCCAGGGCATAATCACAGGACTCGGCTGGCCCTCCTGGCTCTCCGCGCTCGCCCGGCCCTCCGCGCTCGCCCGGCCCTCCGCGCTCGCCCGGCCCTCCGCGCTCGCCCGGCCCTCCGCGCTCGCCTGGCCCTCCGCGCTCGCCTGGCCCTCCGCGCTCGCCCGGCCCTCCGTGCTCTCCCGGCCCTCCGCGCTCGCCCGGCCCGCACCTCGCGCTCGCGAGGCCCGCAGCCCGCCGCGCTGGTCCACGCAGGAACACCTGCCCCCAGGAGAAAGGCACCGTGGCGCGCGCGGGGCGATAGGGGCGGCTGGTGATGCGTGGCCCGGTCAGGGTCATTTGGGTGCTATCGACACGATCGACAGTGCTACAGACGGCTTCCTCAGAGAAGGGTTGGGGAAAGGTGACCGTCGTTCAAAAGATCTGAAGACGGGAAGTGAGACAGAGGAGATGGTATCGGGTGGACTGGACATAGCCTGTCGCGGCGACTTGTTGTCTGTCGGTAAACGACTGAAGGAACCGCAAGCTACAATGATGAGCGATGGTGACACCGTCGTTTGTAACGTTCACACGTCACTGGACACATGCGACACACTCGATAATTGCTGTGAAAATGAACGCAATGTCAGCACGGGAACCGGATGAGAGCTGAGTCGGTCTGTGACTGTATTTTCGGATGGCAGGCTACTGTTTTTTAAGTGGTTTGTTTCACCAATGAGGCGTATCGAGCGCATCATGAGTCGCTGAGCCAAGACCATGACCGAACCACAACAACCGCAGTAGAACAGGGCCACCGCAACAGCGCGTCTCTCGTATCGCAGAAGTGTTACAGGGTCACAACAACAACTCGTTTACTGTATCACTACGGGTGTAACGTTACGGAGCTGAGGCCACACGCATGGGCCATGCGCTGGAATAATAGCTGAAACGCAACTGCGCAACATTTGCTTCAGTCTTCGTAACTCTATATGGAAAAGTTTGATGTAAGATTGTTGTGTCAATTCGAAACCAGCCGAGATGATAGCGAAACAGATTGAAATGACTGGATTTAAAACAGCTTTCTCTTCGGGAACAAAGGTAGGGGATATACTGAAAAACCACACAAAAAGAAATGGAGAAGAAAAAAGTTTAGTGTATAAGATTCCTTGTGGTTTTTGTGACAAATCATATATAGGGGAAACCGGGAGGGGCTTAGACGTTAGATTAAAGGAACATAAGCGGGACATGCGAAACAACGCAGAACATAGCGCGGTAGTAATTCATGCTCAGAAAACACATCATTTACCAAGATGGGGCGGGGCGGAAATTATAGCATTATGTAAAAACAACGACAATCGGAAGGCGACAGAGGCGGCATTTATAGCAATGAACGAAACGATTAATATTAGGGTGGGTTCGATGAAATGGGCAAAACCAGCGGCGATGTATAGTTTAAAGAAGACGCGTCATTAGTTTGTATAAGTACCTACTTGTTCATGATCGTTCTGTATAAATTTGTTGTTATCCATGTGTCATATGTATGTCAGTGATCTATTTTGCTACCATTTTTTCGTGGATATTCTCCTACAGGTGGATTAGTAGTGAATATGTCATATGCATGAACTTTTAAAATCAAGACGATTGCACTGTGACGAGCTCGAATGTTTGTGTGCTATATCTTGTTTTCTCTGTGATTGTCATGCTGATGAAGATTTAATAATCGAAACGCGTCCATGCACTAAAAAAAAAAACATGCACTATTTGTTCCGTGTTTTTCTACTTGTCTCTATCAATATACAAGAGTTATTGAAGTTCGTGATCATTTACTATGCACTTTTTTGCGAAAATAGATTAGGGGTTCCGGGGTAATTAAACGTCTTAAAAGCATACAATCATAATAGCTGAAACGCTGCGTGAAGCTACCTGTCAGAGTCTGGCTGACAGTGTTGAAGGGCGTCGGCACTGAGACGGTCACTCGGTGAAAGTGTTGCTGCGTTCACTGGAGTCTGGGTGGGTCCGAGACGCAGCCGTCCGACCTTGCCGAGCGAGAGACTGAGAACTAGCTGTACGGCTCGTATGTGACCCGGTGTGGACCGGTGTTTATCCTTCGTGTTGTCTGCCGCAGGGAGGCTGGCGGGCTGACATACGAGTACGATGAATAGAAGGGCCGGTTGGTGGTTCGATAGTCATAGGTTGGGGGGAGGGGGACGTAGTTGTTGAATATGAATGGGTCATTCATCAATGGTGTAACGAATAGTAGCATGATGAAGCATTGCAATATCAGGATAAATAAATAGAAATGTATACCTAACTCAACTACGAAAGCACATAAAAACCTGGTCCGTGCGACACAGATTCTTGAAGCCACGATAGTGCGCAGAAGGGTGAATGTGACCGTCCCAGGAAACTATAGCCGTGGCATTGCTCCCGGTGAGAGCCGGCACTGCCCATAGCTCGTGACTCGACCCTCTATGATGGACAGGCCGTGCCGAGCCGGCCCATACCTGTCAGGACGCGCACCGGGCTGGGGTCCCTGTTATAGGAACGGCAGCGTCCCTCCCTTCTCACCGCTCGGCGGGGCGGAGTGCCGAGTTTCGACACTCCTCCATCCCGCCCGCCGCTCGGCCTCACCCGGCGGCGCAACAAGCACGATTGGACGGAATGGAAAGTACAGCCTTTGACGGCTTCTCTGGAGGCGGCGCGGTCGGCTGACGGACGCCTCATTGTCAGGCGCGTAATCACGAGTCTGAAGTTACTGGGGACCACATGGAGGGCCGCAAAGTCCAAATATAAGGTATATTTCAGGATCAGCCTTCGCCCGAGTGTGTGTGTGGGGGGGGGGGGGGCGTTTTTGGCCAAACCTGCCAGTTTTTTTTTGCACGTGTAAGGAAAACCGCGGCGCGCACGCCGCGAAACTTGGATTTAGGGCCTTGGTATGGCTTATGACACCTCAATTGTGTGTGAAAATTTTGACCCCAGGTCACCTAAGGGCAGGTCACCAGGTCAAGTAAAGTAACCATGCCTCTAAAAAAATGGTGACTGTCATTCCTACAGTTTACATCCCAGAAGAAACTCGAGCTTTGGCATGAGCTTTTGCAGCATGAACAATTCTATCTCAAAGTTCTAACATCGGTGACCTAATGTCAGGTCAATTTTGCAACCCCTCCATTTTAAGTCATTGGGAGAAAATTGAATTGTTTTTGTTTTGGCCGAAAACACATTCAAACACCGTGACACAGGTAAACACGACACATTGAATTTGAACCGGAAAATTGCACCTGCGACCCCTTTTATGCCCCTGAGGTCATCTCAGGACATGAAACATCTTCCAACAGTTTTTTTTTTACCATAACTTTAGGTAGAAACATACTAGAGCGCTACCATGAATGTGTTCAGCTCAACAATACCACTCGAATGACATGCAACATGACCTTTTCCGTTACCTTGACCATGGGTCAAATTTTTAACCCTCGCCCTGGCAGGGCATTTTTCATAACACGGCCTGGCAGGGGGGGGGGGTTGATGCGACCCCCCTCGCGATTGGCTCCTATGGCACCTAGAAACACCAAATTTGGTAGGTAGGTGGTTCCCCTGGAGTTTTCGCCCCTGTGCAAATTTGGTTGCTCTAGGTCAATATTTAGGGGGGTTTTGGGGGGTATAAATGTAAAAATTTCGCTAAAAACAGGTCGAAAGTTTTTCGCTTATAACTTTCGATCTAATTAAGATAGAGAAAAAAGAAAAGCACCAGTGAACTAACTCAGCACGTCAAGGCGCGTCGAATGATATACTTTTTAGCTTGCTTAAGTGTACTTAAAGTTTTTCTTAAATTTTAAGTAAACTTAAATTAATAAATTAAGTTCAAGTTAATCAAATTGCATCATATCGCATATCATTCGATTCGGCTGATCACCAGGAACACAATGGTACCATTTTTTAAGCTCTAGCGTCATTATGTGCCAAGTTATTGGCAAAAACGTCATTTGACCTCAGTTGACCTCATTTGACCTGACCCATGGATAAGTACACCAAACAAAGAATCACCAAGTGACCTGCTGTTAAGTACCGTGGTTTCAAAGCACAAAAGTGATAGAACGAAGCGGATATCTCCAGTATTTTCCGAATTTAGTATTTTCCCATAGGCTTAACATTACGACGTAATGACCTCTAACTGACCTCAGGTCAGTGACCTCAAAAAAGCCGGACTATATGTTATACAACTCGGTGAACTTAGCACATCCTGAAAGTTTGAAGGAAATCAGTCGAAAACTGTGAGTTGGAGAGGTGCAAAAAGAAAATTGAAATTTGACCATGACCTTGTACCGGTTTTTCTGACCTGGTGACCTGACCCAAGGTCACCCGGACCTGAAATTTTCAGGTCATATGTAAAAAGGTTGCCCCATAGGCTGTGCCAAATTTGGCGGCGCTGCGCGCCGCCGTTTTTACGCTATCTTCGAAAAACCTTAGGGGGGGGGGGTCGCATCGACCCCCCCCCTGCCAGGGCGAGGGTTAAGTTGACCTTTTCAGGTCAACTTATAGTTCATTCGACGTGTCTCGACGAGACAAAGGCGATGCCGGTAAAATCAGCGTCATACAAGTTTTGAGTCAAAAGTTATGATACAAAAACCTTTTCCGCCAAAACGCCAACTTGGAAGCTAAATCGTTGACCTAAGGTCAAATCTGAGAACATTGCTCAGAAAGGCCTTTGAAAGAGCTATCGAATGCGCTTTCCCGCAGCACTGCAGTTCTATTGGTTCCTGACTTATGCGCCGATTTGTGAAAAGTTGTCAAATGTCAAAATTGGGAACAAAAGTTCGTGAAAATTTTACCTTTGGTGACCTCCAGTGACCTCAGCGACGACCTGATCGAAAATGAAATAGGTAACTCTAAAAGATACTTGTAGCGAGCTGTCTGTTGCTTTTACCACGTCTTTCTAGCTATACTTTCCGAGATAATCTGGTGCTAGCCAAAAAGCCCCCTCCCCCTTACGATGGCGAAGTTGGCTAGAGGCCCACCCGGGCGCTGACTAAACAAAACATCCAGTTTTTTTTTTCTCCGTTGACTACATACTACTCTTCACCTCGATTTAGAGACAATATTTGGCTATTTAAGCAAATTGGGGAGGTCGTCGGTTTTTACTGGGGACGGTCCCCAGTAACCCAAAAGTTACTGGGGACCGGTCCCCAGCGTCCCCAGTGGTGGTTACGCGCCTGCTCATTGTCAGTCGACAGGCGGAATAGGCTGGGGATGTTGTTTACGCTGTTGCGCTCTGTGCTTCTGCACGGCACGGCGTCGTGGCGTCCGGATCCAACGTGACGTCTTCGCCGCCGCACCTGGACAAGTGGACACAGATCGAGTTGCATGGGCGATGGCGGCTGACGTGTGAGCGGTGGCCGGCTATAATGCCCCCGCAGGGTGGCATGACGGCTTAACAATGCACGCCGACTCGCCTGGAGACTTCGGTGGAGATGCAAATTGCAAACCTACGACCCCGACTCCTGAAATGTTACCTAGTGACGTGTTATGTCCGGGGTCGCGTTTTGTTTGCGACCGGACCGTCTGACCCGCTTGCATTAGCGCATTTGCATATCAGATCGCATGTGAACAACAGAATCGCATTTAAACTACAGACTTAATTTGATTCTTGCTAAGCACATGGACGAACCGAGAACCGGTTTTGACGACTTTGACGTGGGCGATACGCCTGAAAACCGGCTCGCTTACCTACATGCGCAATCTACTGATGGCACCACAAACTTAGCATCCATAAGTCAGTGGAACTGGTTCAGACAGTGCGGCACTGTGGTGTCTGTGGTTTTCCTTTGGGTGCAACGCACAGTGTGGCCCCAGTACTCCCCCTCCCCAGAACGTTCAGACGTATTCCATCACCGGAAACGATGGATTTAACCTCCATGTCTCTCGTGCCTCAGGCACCGGCGCACTTCTTCCCACCGTCACGCACCCAGACCGACAACAAGCTGGCAACCGATCTGGAGAGCTCACTCGGTCAGGTCATGTCCGACTTCGAGGAGACCTTCCAGAGGTCACGCGTGCGTCAGGAGAACCACGCGTACCTCAGCGACGGTGGCGAGTACCGGCCGAACGGGCGGCGGTACCACTCTCTGCCCAGGCCAGGTAAGGGCTGCAGAGCTCTCTCAGTGTGTGCGCCGACTCCCGAAATGTGCATGCAGTGGGCGATGATGAATAGGTACTGTGTTGCTACGTGTGTGCCTTTTTGGGTGCAGACTTGACAATGCTCGCACACGTCTGCGGCATATGGACTGTGGACATCGACGTCTTTGCGACGAGCATAAGTAGGTATGCACCTGCACTTAAAAGAGTAATGGTCTGTTTCGCTGCCGTGCTCTACCGAGGCGGATGATTTGTTTTCCATGACTCCCTGCATCTTGAGTCGATGTGTCTGCCCTTTTTGGGCGGGTTTGTGCAAACAGATTCGGCAGCAGCGCTCGTGACCAGACTGCAGCCTGTACTCCCGCGTGGCTGAACAGCAAATCACCACACCTTACTTCACACGCCAACACAGCTGCCTGTTCTGACCGAGCCCTGTCCTCCCTCAGCGACGCTGCGCTCCTGGCGGACTGTAGAACAGGACCTGCCGCGTGCCTCGTCCAACTCGTCACTCTCAGACTCATCGGATGGCGCGGGGAACGGTCTCGGACGCTCCTCCGACCTCGCCCGAGAGATGGCCGAAACCATCAGCTCGCTGCAGAAGCTCAGCCGTATGGAGGACGGGCCTGAACTGCGGCCGGGTCACAGGAGGTCAGAGGTCACCACCCATGTGACCTCTGAGGGTACGCCGGGATCGGGGCGGGAGCAGACGGACAGCAGGCTGGTGGGCAGGAAGGAGTGCCGGATGGAGACGAGGGTGACCGTCTCCAGCAACTCTCAGCGTCAGGCAGAGGATACGGTGAGAAACGACCGCAAAAGGAGGGAATGGTCAATCATTCATTATGCGACAATACGGTATAAAACTGGCCAGATCATGTTAATTATCATGAAAAATAATTGGCACTTATGCATCACCTAAGACTGAGAAGCATTCGCCGCAAGAATTGCTTTTTCTTATAACCCAGCCTATTGTTCTTACATGAAGACAAAATTTGAAGGGATACCGAAGATATTCTCGGGCAGCCCTGTATCCTGGGGCTCTCCATTATTCACCACTCATTGTTTCCGTTGGCCTGCGTGTCAGAGCGAAGGCTGACCTCTCTGTGCTGCCTTTGTCGTGTCATGCTGACATGTTTTCGAAAGCTCAGCCGTCCAAGTCGGCCGTCCGTTCCGTTGGCTATGTTTGTCGGAAATCTAATCGCGTGCCTGTTGTCTGCTGTCGAATTCAATGTAAACGGAAAGGTAACGTTGAGTAAACCAGCCGATGGGAAGACATGTTTGCGTGAACGACCGGCAGGCTGCCAGTGTCTGAGGCTGTTACGGTGTTATCTGTCAGGGAAGCGCTGACAAACGGTAGACATAGGCTTTTGGCACCTTCACTGTTGCGATGTGGCGGTGGTCCTTTTATATTGATTTGTTTGATCCGTAACCGTAAATATTGGCACGTCAGACGCTGGCTCAGATTCTTTAGGAAGGCGGAGCAAATGTTTGGCCCAGTCGGCCCAGTTGGCCCAGCCCGACCCGAGGTCATATAAATACCTACCTACATATCTCTAGCACAAGGCCGTCTTCTGGCATAATGTTTTGCCTATACTAGAATATTCAGCTGTTAGCATCATTATTCATTATTCATTTCACTGGGTCATCGTCAATGACCAAGGTCGCATACGGCATAAAAGCATTGCAAATTGCAATAGGGATATCCTCCATGTTCTGACCAATCATCATCATCATCATCATCATCATCATCATCACATTTATTTGCATCACACACACAATGTGAGGTGACAAGGTGAGGTGACAGTTATAACAAGTAGCAGTACATATACATTGGGCCAGGTAGGTACATACATTAATGCCTGCAGAACAATGCTAGGCCACGCAAGGACATTCACAAGAGCCAATCATTGGACATTCTAAAACCATCGATAGTACCTATACTTTAGTTCAAGTTGTGTGCCTGGTGCTTTCATTTGTGACTGTTATGAGCCTAAGAATTTTACGCGAATGAGAGCAAGTGCTGTTGAGCAGGAATTTGATTGTGTCCACAATTCCATCATTCATACAAGAGCCACGAATAAGCTCACCATCAACATTGCCACATGCTATGTTCATTGTAACTTCAAAATTATTATTTCCGAGGCTATGTGTAAAGCTCAAGAATGATCCGTCTAACTCTGAAGGCGTAGTAGCTAGAACAGCAAGGCTGCGAATCATTATCTGCTTAAGCCTATGATCCGAGCGAAACAGATGAGCAAAGCCGCGAAGCGTAAGCGATCGGAGAAGCTCTTGAACCTTAGGAATGCCAAGCGCTGACATTAGGGCAGAATGATGGGCATACACAGGGAGCCCAATGGCTGCCTTTATACTAGAAGATTGAAATAATTCCAGGTTACTTATGTCAGCAGCTCTCAGTGGAGCAACGATGCTCCCAGATGTCAAAGAAGGGGCTACAATCGTGCGCCATAGAAAAGCTTTGTCTAAAGCAGACATAGCCTTGCTAAACATTCCTGCAGGTGTGAGCCCGTAAAAAGCTCCACGGGCACGTCTTACTCGAGACCGCGCATGCGCTGAGCCACGTAAATCAGTGCTGATGGTCACACCTAGATGCTGTGTTTCAGAGCGGATAGATAACTGCTGACCGGCCAACTGCCATGTAGGCAGCTCAGCTAAATGTTCAGCACCAAAGACAAGGCAATGACTTTTAGTTTTAGACTGATCAGGGTGAGTGAATTCGAGTCTCCAAGTGCCCGCGAACTCCCCCACAATGCTTAAAAGATGGCCAAGACTCATGGAGTTCGTAGAAACAAGCATTATGTCGTCAGCGTAACAGATCGAGGGGACATGATATCCCATTAGTTCAGCCCCAAGTCCACTATGATCAAGAGTCTGTATTAAGGGACGAAAAAATATGTTAGCCAGTACTGGGGAAAGGATGGCCCCTTGCCTCGTTCCACGTTCTAGTGGGAAACTGTCGGAACGAATGCCCATAAAGTCAATTTTGGCAGTAAGCTTGCGATACCACGAGAGAAGCAGACACCACGAGCGATTCTCAAGCAGATCAAGAAGACGATAGAAAAGACCGTCATGCCAAATGCGGTCAAAACACTTTCTGGCGTCTAAATTAGCGACGAATACAGGAGATCCCCTTCTTAGGTGCCACTGGACAGTCTCAGAAAACAAAAGAGAGGCTTCGGCTGTTCCACGCTGTGGAACAAATCCAAACTGTAGATCGTGTGGAACGAACGATGTTTCAATATATTCAATATATTCCAGATTTTGTAGTATATTTTTTTCCAATCGGAGTATCCAAAATCACTTATCACGTGCTCTCCAGTTTGATGAGGAATCTCTGGAATTTCGAGTCACGGCGCAAAGCGCACTTTGTTTTTGTTTACATTTTCAAATTTTCAAGGCCGATCTAATTCAAAACAAAAATGGGCCGTGAACAGGGGGCTCTGCATTTATCTGTGTTCGCCTTGTCTGTGTTCACATATTCCTCCTCAGGTTTCACTATTTCGATAGCTGCTTGTACGGTTTGGCTATAAGCGATGTGGTTATTTTGTACGGCTTTCTTCGCCGTTGTTGTTTCATTTACAGCCGGGTATTTTGTTTTGATCCGCCGGCTACGCTTTCAGCGTCAAGAACAAGCGAATAATGAATATGAAAGAAGGATACGGGAGTTGGAGGAGCAAGTCAAGGCCATTCCTCTACTTAAGGTGAGTTGAAGATTGAAAAAGGATCAAACGTCCTTACACTTGCAAACACAAACGTCAGACATCGCATCAAGCTCTGCATCGCTGATCGCAATTGCTCGTGGAATGGCAAGATAAATAATTCGTTAGCTGTCAAATTAGTGAAAACATGAATTATAGATAGTCACCAACACATCATTCCGAGGCTGCTCCCCGGACTCTACCCAGCCCTGTGACCGGTCCACCTCGGGCCGGGTGTCTGACCATTTCCCTGCTCTTCTGCAGCACAAGCTGTCCGTGCTGCGGGAGGAGAAGCGGTCGATGGAGGAGCAGCTGACCCGCAGCCGGCCTCGCCGTGAGCCGCAGGGAGACCCTCCCGAACGGACCACCCAGCACACCGTCAGCCTGCGCTCCAGGAGCCTCTCACCCGCTCAGGGTAGGTGCTGCGCGCTGGTGTGTGCCGCGCCACCCCTGCTGCACGGTTAGCCTTAGATTCTTATTGCGATGCTGTCGAATTTTCAGTTATCTCGCGACCTCGAAGACTGCCGCTGCGACGGCGGCCTTCGTTTGGGCTAACAGAGCTCCAATCTGGCCCACTCAGCCTGTGGCGAGATTTATCTGCCGTCATCACAGCAGTCACTGTGGTTGTTTAATGTTTATGGCGCGGATAGCGGCGGCGCGGCGGCGGCTTTGACGGCGCTCTGTGTGCTTCTCTGTTCATAGATCCGAGCTCGCCCGACCGCCGTGTGCTACAGGATGCCACCACCAGCTGTCGCGTGCTAACCAGAGACATCGGAGTGGACGGCTGCCCGGAGCGACTGGACGCGACTCCGATGCGGGAGTCTCCCTCCAGCCGCGGCCGAACCCGTGATGTGGGGTTGGCCACGAGGGAGGTCACTCCGCCAGCCCGCCCGGTCACCAGGGACTTTGGTGTGGGGTACGGCCTAGCGGTACGAGACCCGACACCTCCTAGAGTCGTCACATCACCCAAACCAGCGACACGCGATGTGGGCGTGGGTTACGGCCTAGCCGTTCGCGAGCCGACGCCTCCAAGAGTGGTCACACCACCCAAGCCTCCAACAAGAGACGTTGGCGTTGGTTATGGTCTTGCAGTTCGTGATCCAACTCCACCAAGAGTTGTTGCTCCTCCGAAACCACCAACGCGTGACTTCGGAGTGGGTCATGGGCTTGCCGTCCGCGACCCAACTCCTCCAAGAGTGGTGGCCGCTCCCAAGCCGATAACTCGGGACATGGGTGTCGGGTTGGGGATGGCTGTCCGCGACCCCACCCCTCCACCAGCACCAGTGCGGGTTCCTACACGGGACGCGTGCGTTGGCGGTGGCCCACCGACCCCGCCTCCGCGTCCCGCGCCAGCCCAACGCTCTGTCTACGTCCTTACCGACCTGAACGCCGGTCAAGAAAACCGGGGCCGCCGCAAGTTCTCGCTGGGTTCAATCCTGAGCGGGCACGGTGGCAACCGAACGGTGGGGGTCAACACGCGGCGCTCGGAGCTGACCGTCGGAGGTACGCATGTGGAGACCGTGGCCGGAGATGACTCGGTTCAGGAGATTCTGGAGCGGGAGCGACGCCGTCCACCGGGCGTGGAGCGCGGCTCTCAGACCCGTGCCGCGGCGGCCGTCAGTGCCGAGACGAGCACGGACCGGCCGCCGGCCACCCGAGACGTCGGGGCTTCCACCGAGCTAGGTTTCGATGAGCTGCGTCAGATGTGTGATCTGCGCGACCAGCTAGACGAACTGCGAGAGCTTCAGAGATCCACCAGAGCCTCGTCCAGCGAGACGCGAGACACGTTCACACAGATCAAGGAGTACGAGCTTGGCGTCAACTACGTGCGAGGAGCGTTCTCGTTCGTGAAGAGCGTCAACTGTTCCTCGCAGACGGAGCCACCGCCGCAACCAACACCGCTCCGCTCCTCGGGAGCTCAGACTGATCGGGAGCCGGAGCCTTGGAGGCCGTCGACGCGTGCCTTCGCCGCCCAGGTACACCCGGCGATGACCAGTGTTGGCGTGCAGTGTCTCGAGGAGGACAGCCGGGGTGTCGAGGCGCGGCCCGAGCGGCGTGATGTCGCCGTCACGGCAGAGTTCCGCCGGTTCACGCGGTCGGTGGCTACAGCCACGGACGCTGCTCCGGCGGTGACTCGGCCGTCCCCCGCGCACAGGAGGGATGCGGCGACGGCCACGGTGGCTCCGCTCGTCATGTCGCGAGCGGTGCTCACCGATCGCCTCAAAGAGCCGCTGAAGAAGGTAAGAAAGTTAAACTCACTGATCGAGACGCGCTGCTCTGGGAAGGCTGTGTTCAGGTGGCTAATATGTTGGGCTGGCGTTTACTGGGTAGCAGTGAGTCAGCGCTCAGGTAGTGGAACACTGCCAGCTTGTTTTGATACTTTTATAATTTGCTTTCATAGTGAAGGGTGTAAATGTCTGAGGTTTCTACTCACACGAATCGCTGCATCTGCAACCAGGCTTACTACTCCACTCTGATGAACGGTTGTTGTGTCGTGTCATTGTTCCTGTACTGACCGCTGAACGTTCCGTCTGTTTTGGCTCAGGTGAAGACCACCATGACAGAGGTGACTCCTCTGAGGAGTGTTGCCAGCGGCGAGCACCTGGTTAATCGTCACCAGAGCTGCCAGACGGCCCCATCCCCGGCCCCAGCCGCCGCTGCCGCCGCCCCCGCCCCTGCGCCGGCCGCCCCGGCCCCGCCCGTCAGCAGCCGTCACCAGGCGACTCAGACGCTGGCGGCGCCACCGTCCACCCCTCCGGCGACACCTGCCGACCGCGAGTCGCCGCTGCCGCCGCTCTCCCGCTCCTCGAGCGGCTCCAAGATCCCCCGCCGGATGGCGACGCCTCCCACCGCCCGAAAGGCGGCCCCGGCCGCTCCCACTCCCCCGGCTATGGTGCGGCGAGCGGCCTCCTTTGCCGGAGTCACCACCCCACCGACCGGCCGCAAGACGCCGACCGCTGCCGGTTCAGCCACCCCGCCGACGGCACGCAAGGCTGCCGGAGCGGGCACCCCGCCCACCGCTCGACGCATCCCGGTGCCCGTGGGATCAACAACTCCGCCCACGCCGCGACGGGAGCTCCGGTCGCCGTCACCGTCGGTTTCGACGGCGCGTCCGGCGGCCAAAGAGTCGTCACCGACGAATGGTGCGCCGGCGGTGACGGCGGAGTCGGGACCGGCGGCGGTGCCCGAGTCGGCCAGACTGGTGTCCGGCGCAGGTCAGGTGTCTGACGCCGAGCCCAAACAGCGCCAGTTTGGCCGCAGGGATACGTTTGTGGCGCCCCGTGACACGGACTCTCAGCGGCAGGAGCTCGGCCAGGGCGACGCGGCAGATCAGTGAGTTTTGCTGAGGTGGACGGGGAGGGGGCGGTGACGCGTATCATCGCAATGATTCAGGATTTTTCGTCCCGGGGTTGTCTTGCCAAAATCACGTTTGTAGCTTTGCTGTTTAAACTAAGAAACATTGCTTGTAAGCGTTTACCTAAATCTGCTAAAGTAATGGAACACCGTACTCGTATAGCCCTGCAATCGTACGTCCTATCCCTCGATATGATCTTTCTCGTGGTCTTACAGTATGTGACTTGGGGTTGTTTCGTCTTTGCAGAAAATCGACATTGGAACCCGTGGATTTAGATGATTTCACGGCGGTAGAGGAAATGATCTCGACGGAGGAGATGAAAGAGAAGAAACCAGAAGCTCCCAGAATAAAGTGCGTACCAGTTTACACTTTCATACCGTTCTTCAGTCTTAATCATCATCCTGCATTGCTTGTATCAGCTATGACGATAAGCTCCCGTTTCCTAACCTGCCCTCACCGAACCCTCTCAATCCCCTTTTCTCCCCAGGGTGGAGCCCAGTCCAGAGATGCGCGCCGCTCTGAAGGTGCTGAACGACTCTCTGAGCGCCCCGGGCGCCGGCAAGGGGTCGTCAGCCGTCGCCCAGGCGCGCGCTCTCGTTCAAGCCGAGTGGTTCAAGGTGGCCGGATCGCGAGACGCCGACCCGCTGGTGGTGGAGGACTACCTGGACGTGCTGGAAGGCATGTCGCTCGACCTGTTGAAGACCGTGGTCAACATGGCGGATAACAACGTGAGTATAGGATCAGTTTTTTTTCGGTATAGATGCGGCTTTTACGTAATTAAGTGACAATTATTGGCATTCTGCTGAATATATCCGTCATTTCGTTTTCATTTCTGTCATCTTCATTTGAATTGTCCATTGGTTGATTCCTTGTGCATCGGAAATTTTGCGTCGAATTCCGTCAAAAAAATGTGTTACTTTTTCTTCTGAGTCTGAACCACCAAGAAACCACAACCGTACCAAACTGACTAGTCCCTCAGCCCTAGACTCCCAGCTGCACTAACCTCACTGACCGGCCGCCCCGGCCTCCCCCGGCAGAGTAACACGGTGATGCACTACGCGGTGTCGCACGGCAACTTTGACGTGGTGAGCGTGCTGCTGGACAGCAAGGTGGTGGACGTGCAGCGGCAGAACAACGCCGGCTACACGTGCATCATGCTCCTATCGCTGGCCCACATCACCTCCGAGACGCACCGCCAGGTGGTCCGCAGGCTCTTCCAGAACGGCGACGTCAATGTCCGAGCCAAACAGGTGAGATGATGGTGGTGTATTCTGAAAACTGTTCGGAACGCGTTGAGGTGGGACTGACTCAGCTAGCTGGTTCAGATGTTTTCATACTATTTTCTCGTCAATCTTCTCGTCAAACCTTATTTAATCAGGACAGCAGCAGATGCGGGCCCTCTTGATGATGTTTCCGAAATCAGCGTTTTTATGTGAAGCGAGTGCGACCGGTCACGCTTACCAAACCTCCTCTAGCATGATGGTCGTATAGCATTATCTGTTTAAATTCAGCCAACATGCATCATGGCGGCGTTCCGCTACCCTACTGAGCCGTATTATCAGTCTCCATTGTGAGCTGTCCTCGAGTGTTCGCTACCCCCGAGTCTGACGCCCGTCTCCGTCGCCCCTGTCCCGCAGCACGGTCAGACGGCGCTGATGCTGGCCGTCTCCCACGGCCGGCTGGACATGGTCAACCTGCTGCTGGAGGCCGGAGCAGACATCAACATACAGGTGCGTGCGGTGGTCACTGCAGATCTGCTACCGGTGCTCCTGAACTGGTGGTATGAAATTATTGAAAGGAATATCACCTCCAGGCGATGGGCTGTCCATTAGTGGCCGTCTTAGTGTCCATAGTCTCGAAACGTCTTAGGTTTATCTAGGATTTTCTAAGTTTATCCCCGTTCAGCTTAGAGTAATTCCGATATTTTGTGTAGGCGTCGCGCTCAAACGGACCCCTCAGCTCTGTGGATACGAGATCTCCGATGAATGGCGCTACTTAACAGTCCTACCATCCCCAGTGCCACGGAGATATAAACCTCTCCGAACCCCAGATCACGGGAAGCAGCAGCTAGGTCTGACGCCCCCTTCCCCTCTCCCCTAACAGGACGAGGACGGCAGCACGAGTCTGATGTGCGCCTCGGAGCACGGCCACGCGGCGATCGTACGCGTCCTGCTGGCCCACCCCGAGTGTGACACTCAACTCACCGACAACGACGGCTGCACGGCGCTCCAGGTGGCCATGGAGGCCGGCCACCGTGACGTCGGCCTCCTCCTGTACGCCCACTCCAACTTCTCTCGCGGCAGTTCCCCGTATGGCTCGCTGAGGCTGAAGAAGGGCGGCTCGCGGACACCGGGCGGCCGGGCCAGCGCCACTCCCCCGCGCGGAGCCACGCCCACCGGCACGCCGGGACTCGGCAAGCGCAGCCTGTCGTCGCTGCACTGAAGCGCGTGATGTGGGCTTGTGGTGATACTCCGTCCAGGGGAGGTGTGGAGGATCGGTCGGTGACAGTGCCTTGTAACGCGCGCAGCGGCGCGGCCGGGCGGCAGACCGCGCCCCGAGAACCGGTGGCACGGGCTGGTCGTGATATGTAACTGATTCAGCCAGACGAGTCGTTCGCTGCGACGCACAACTAACCTCAGTCAGAATTGTTCGAGACGTTGCCTTCCTATTCAACCCAGGCGCTCAGCGCGGACTCCCCAGACGTTTTGGGTTCCAGAGCGTGAAGCGAGTGGTGCACTGACCAAGTTTTATCATTGAGTGAGGAGTCTGCTTGTGACCGGCTGTACCGGACCGAACAGCGCCAGACGTATCCTGCTTTACCGAGCTGTGGGCGAAGTCAGCGGTAATCTGCAGTACTAACATGTGCCAACGAATGTGTAACTGACTTTTAATGTGTGCTTGTGTTTGACGTGCGATAGGTGAGGTTTTTAACCATCCGCTGCCAATACATTCCTCGAAACCTGGGTGGTCATACGAGAGGTTGATTGAGTTGCAAGAAAGAAAGAAAGAACGCACGACAGGCGGGCGCAGAATCATTCAGTGCTAATTGTGTGCCGGTTAGTATTCATATTTAGATTGTCCGCCTCACTTCGAATCTTGGCAAACTAGCATGTGCGTGGTCATCAAGACAGCGATGCTGTGCCAACGCATTTGAAGCCCAAAGACGGTACACTCAATCCTATCCTTCCTGCCAACAATTCGGCCTAGCATCCACCCTCAAAGCCGTCTCTGAAACAGCGATATATTTGTAGTGCACCCAGATCTCTCTCGCCCCCGGCGGCGCGGCAGAGCTCAATCACAGACAGACAAACCAACCTGGCCAGCTCGGCCGACAGAGGCCGCTTCAGACCGCAGCGGCGGAGACGCTCACCACACGGGCGAGCCGAACGGGGCGGGGAGCACACGGCGCACACCATCACAGTCCCACGGAAACCCACCTTTCGCGACCATAGTGAGAATACAGCGCGACGACTCCGCGCAGCGCCCACTACCAGCAGAACCCGGCTCACTAGAAAGCCAACCCCGTCGCAATTATTGTCAGTATCTTCCAACTAAGTACACCACCTTGAGAGCTACGTTCGCGGATAGTCCTTCAGTTAACCCGCGCCCCGTAGGGGGGGGGGGCCGAAACGGCCCCTCCCTGTCCTTTTCGGTCGATATCTCCTAAACGGCTGGAGATATCGCCACCAAACTTTCAGGACCCCTCCGGGCATCAATTTTACACATTGTGACCAAAAATTTTTCCAGAGGCTATGATAGGTTGGCCACAAATGACGTCAGAGTGACGTCATGTTCTGTCATTTTCGACCGAAAAAAGACCTTCGCGAGAAGACCTGTCAGGACTACAGCTTTGAAGATACAGAAAAATGATCAAAACATAAAAGGTGTAGAATTGACAGGGCTACAAAACTGCTATCTCGAATTTTTGAAATTTTTGAGTTTTGACCCCCAAAAATCAAAAAAGCATTTTTTTGGATATATTCGCCAAAAAATCCAAAAAGTTTTTTGAGTTTCGAAAAAACCGGAATATATGTGATAGTGCCTACCGTCTTCTATCTACATACCAAATTTCAGATCGATACCTCGTTTTTTGGCCAAGTTATAGCGAAAAAACTGTCCAAAAATGATGACGTCAAATTTTCAAACTCAATTTTTGGCAATTCTAGAACTCGTAGAGCAAAACGAAGACCACCATTAGACTCCCCGTGACGAGCTGCATCGAATCAATACCCATTTTATGCAAAAATATCAACTTTGAAATTTGACCTAATTTGACCTGACCTTGACCTGACCTTCACAAAAACGTGACCTAGGCTGGCCCCAAAGGCTGCCTAACCCACATAATCGCATTTGTCATGTAAAATGGACCATAAAACATGTATCACACGACACATTCATATTGTGACCCCCGGTGACCTGACCTCGCTGTGACCTGACCTGGTATCAGTGACCTCAGATAGCAAAGTATGTGTTTGACGAACAATATACCATCGATTGTTTTCAATAAATTACCAATTTACTCGCTTTCACAGCACATTTCTTGAATTGCCTGTGAACGGTGAAAATCTGACCTTTGACCTGACCTGTGACGTCATCGGTTTGACCTAGGTCAATGAAATTTGGTCACAAGGTAGTTCCCGGGTGGGGCTATCGAACGCCGTTTGAATTTTGAAAATCGGCCGGTAACTTTCCGAGATCTTAGGGGGGGGGGCCGAAACGGCCCCCCCCCTACGGGTGGTAGGGTCCGCCGGTAGCCCTACGGGGCGCGGGTTAACTACCTCGCCCACAGCTTATACAACTGGCCGTCCTGGCAGATTCTAAACGTGGCACTACCACCGCGCCAGGGGCGTCTAAACGCGTCGGAGCTGTCTACAAAGTCCACGGCGCCGGCGATCGGTAAATAGGTCTGCGCCGGTGGGTCGGCACCTTCTTTTTACATGGAGGTGGGTGCAAGGAAGTTGAGCTCGCGCAGGCGGCTGGGACGCGGCCTGTTGCGGTTCTTTTTACGCTCAGCCGGCGGATCGGTCATACCTCCGGCAGTCGCGAGGGACGAGGCCGGCGGAAGGCCGGACACTCCGGCTGCCGGGACGGCCGCCGCCCCGCCGGCCGGGGCAGCCGCGTCCGGCTGGTCAGGGTGGCTATCGCGCCACTCGCGGCAGATGTCTGCCGGCCGCTCCGGATAGAATATGGACGGCGTGAAGAACCGGTGACCGCGGCGCTGACGCGGCGGCGTGTTGGGGCACGATACGGACGGTCTGCGCTCCAGGTTGGGGCGTTCCACGCTCGGCAGTTCGGCGAGATCCGTGGCTGAGGTGACGCGCGTCAGGTTGTAGCCTACCTCGTCCGCGTCCTGCTGTGACTCGGCGGCGCCCAGAGCCTCAGAGACGGCCTGGGTCAGAGACGGCGCCGGGACAGGGTCGGCGAACGTGTCGGCTGGGGAGGGAGAGCAGGCGGTCAGATAAAAGAAATCTTGGATATACGTCTATCGGCGGTGCAACACTCGCTGTGACGACTCAACGCTTCAAAACGCACAGGTCTTGACTTAATGCCCAAGGTGGATTCGGCCGGATTCGGCCTTGAAACGCATATCTTCTATGCATTGAATTGAAAAGCAAACAAAGCGACATTATAAACTGACAAGACATAAAGCATTTCAGCTTCAAAAGACAAACACGGAGGTACAACGCGGCGACATCTGCACTTCAACCTACTAATTCTATTACAGCCCTTCCCACTTTTCCATCATCCACTCACCAGCCTCATCGCCGACTTTGACGGTCATTTTGGTGGCCGTGGCCGAGGTCATGTCGGACGGCGGCGGCGGCGGCGCCGAGTTCTCCCCTGGAGAAACCTCCAGATGGCGCACCAGCGACACTAGCGACGTGGGGGTGGCGATGGAGGCCGAGTCGGACGGCCGGCGGCCCAGTGACCAGCCGTGGGCGCCCACTGGCGGTGTACCCGGTCCCTCGTCTCCGCCCAGAGGCGTGGCGTTCATCAGCGAGTGGAACATGGACTCATGGTCCGGCGGAGACACGATGTTGGCCAGGTCGAAACTGTCGCGCACGGGCGACGGGGCGGGTCAGAGAGCACCGGACAGGCTGCCGGTACCGAGCGGTGATCGGTGGATGGCTGTTGAATCATGTTAAAGTTTGGAAACGGGTGGACTAGCACGGGTTTTATTGGCTAGCTCCCACAAAAAAAGAGAAGACAAAATGATAAGCACGGGATGCTGCTAGCGAGATATATTCCTCTAGAAAGCACGCTTGTAATGCAACACGATTTTTCAATTCAAATTCTGTTAAGATGCGCTCATACCTAGCACCTGCCTGTGCAGTGCCTGCCACCCAGCGCAAGTAAAGAAGCAATCATGCATGGAGGAAAACGTCGGCACTTATCCATCCATCTATCTTTTCATCATCCTCACCTTCCCGGTTCGTACTCGTCGTTGCACATCCATTCGATGCACGTGCGGCTCTGTCCGTCCATCTTGCACACAAATAAAGTAGGTACCTCTAGGAGCAGGAGACAGACCAGTCACCAAGTGCAGACAGACAAGGTAGGCTAGGTGAACTACACCATTACTAATGCTGAAATGTTAGCTAAAAGGCATGTGTGCTGCGTGGCTAAGTACCGCAGTCAGTACAGGCAGCAAGCAAGCAGGTGCATCAATTCATAATGCAACTCGACGACGAAATGCTAATAGCATGTATCTCTCCCCCAGCACAAGTCGAATGGATACCAAGTAATGAACCCTTTGCTCTGCACATTACACATCATCCCAAAGCAGAGGTCAGACTTTCACCTCAAGTCTAATGCTCTTCCAAAAGGGTATTTAAAAAAGGGTATCTAATGCCCATTTAGGCAGCGGAAAAATTAGCCAACCGGCGAGCAAACACTGCCAATGCATCCAATTCCTCGCACTTTTAGATAACATTGATAACAATATGTAAAAGGGAAATTAAATGATGCATGGATTCAACACTGATAATTGGTATATGACTTATGTAAGATTTGATCACAGAACTTGAAGGTTTCCCAGGCCCTTAGACTTATCATCCTTGTTTGGTCAGTAGATTCACTGCCACATAGAAAATATACACAATGTATCTGTATCTGTGCACAAAGCTTTGAAGCACAGATATAACAAAGATAATGACAGGTACAGCGTGAGGATTGCTTACCTTTATAAAAAAGTAGCGATTTGCTCAAAATAATACCAGGCTAATCCACCATTGTTGCTAGAGTATCTGCAAAAAGAAAATGACATCAATGATACAGCAATAAGGTGACATAAAGATTTTGGGAGGATGTGTTTTTAATAAAGCTGAGATTAATGAATAATGAATTAAATTTTGTAATTTACATAATGAAAGCAGCTGTGTCCTTATCATCATTATGCTACTTCTGATAAACTTAAGCACACTGAGTAAAGGTCTAGCTACACTATGCGGGATCCTACGTCCGTGATCTGCGAGTTTACGGGTTTTGCAGAAAATCGGTACGCAGGTCAAGTTCAGCTGATAGGAAATACACGATACACAGGGTCGGCTACACTGGGCCCTGGGGTCACGCAGATTCAGTCAAGGAAATCCCGGACGTTCAGTACAGGAAATGCCGGATAGTCAGGACGGTCAGGATGTTCCATACCGATATAAAGTTCAGAGCTACGAACTTGTTTGCAGAATCTGCGAGATTGCGTGATAAGAGACAGTTGTTGGCGCACTTGGTGGCGCACCGTATGAATCCAAGTGACGTAATTAATAATTGCTTCTTTAATTTACATGTGTTTTTGATGTTTTATTAACAAAATAAACTAATTACCAAAAAAATATTATAGAAGATAGCAAAGTGAAGTGTTTTTTTGCGAAACCATTTATTAGTTGTTATTATTACGTCAGCACACAATAATTCATGGAAATTCTGGTAAACCGCAGAAACCGATATCATGAGGAAGTTTCGCAATCACGGATCTGCAGATCACGCACGTAATTTCCTGGACGGTCACGCATAGTGTAGCTCAGCCTTTAAATTTAAAAATATAATTCATAATATTACTCATACATCAGTTTGTACTTAGAGCTGGCTGGCCTCCTTGAATCTTTTTGTTATGGGCATATCTACACAGCTAGCACACAGCCTCACTTTACAGTGTTTATTATTACGGAGCGAGCGAAGCGAGCGTAGTCTTTCCTTAGATTAACGGAAATTTCTGAGTATGAGCGGCCGGCCGGCCGGCCGGCCGGCCGTGGTCACGCTTTTGCGAGGCTTATATCTCAGCAACCACTTGACCGATTTACACGCGGTAAATTTTGTAGGGTAGCTTCATTCCTTCTACCAAGTATTGGACTATTCCCGATGCATGTGGGTGACCCCTTATGCACGTGCCACGTGCAAAACGAAGAGGTGTCACTTTTGTAATTGTTGCAATATCTCGGTAACTACTTGGCCGATTGCGCTGAAAGTTGGCATGTAGGTAGGCACCCACTAGGCACTACATATCCATGTGCCAGAGTTGGGGTGCTGCTGCACGTGCGCACGTGCAGGGGTCGTTTCCAGATCTCGAGAACGGCTCGACCGATTGCGCTCAAATTTGGTACACAGTTAGGGACCGGTTAGTAGGGTGCCGTGCACAAGTCAGTTGGGACCCATTTTGCACGTGCGCACGTGCAGGGTGCCGCTTCCAGATCTCGAGAACGGCTGGGCCGATTGTGCCCAAATTTGGCACATCGCTAGAGACCGGTTAGTAGGGTGCCGTGCACAAGTCAGTTGGAGGTACCCCCTCGCAATTTCGCACGTGCAAGGCCCACCCTCTCGCTCGCTCCGTTAGTCGCCCCAAAAGGCGTTATACTGGTTTAGATAAATGCCCATCTTTAATGGAATTGAGAAAATCACCTCATTTTTTATCTCTGAATTTCCTGACTTCACATATAAAAGTCACAAATGAAAATGAAAATGTAAAACTCTAAGTTAGTGCATACACCAGCATGATTGAATTATAATGTGAACAATTCAGGATTCTTTAAAGATAACTGTCTTGACAACTGTACAGATTCATGGGAGAAAACAGCTTGGAATTGAATGGATTTAAATTAAGTAGGTAGGTACCAATCATTGCTAACAGAAATGGAGTATGGAGTAACCATTTGCAAACATCCCCAAACATCCAAATCCAACTCTTTGGATCCCCAGGGGAGAAAAGAGAGGAACATACCACACTACCTGCCCAGCCATCGTAATTTGTATATATGACTAAGCAATAAGCATCAGCTCAAGCTGGTGAGGGATAACAGCGGCATAAATATTACAACATGGTTCAACTTTTGTACTGCTGTCTTGCACTAAGTTCATACTGGTAAGTGGTAATCCAGATTCCAGACACACTTGAATGATCAGGTCATTCATTAGTCAAGGAATAGCAATGTGCAACAGAGCAAGACAACAAGGAACAATGCAAATCAACTGCAATCTTGAGTCAAGACTTGATGGTGCATTAGCACACACAGCTAATGAAAAAAGTACAAAAATCAACCATTTCCCTGCTGAAACTATGTCCTCATCCCAGTCAAACATGTGATTGATTAGAAGGTGCCTTGGCCCCACAATCCAAACCTGAATCACTTGTCTTGTTCCCTTTGTGTAAGCTAGGCTTTGTGCATATTGGGTACCTACTGTAGTTCCGTGCAACTTTGGTCACCAAGGGCAACTTTGGCCCACTCCTGGAAAACGAATTTGCTTTGCTATAGTAACATAGTAACGTTGCTATAGTAACGTTGTCCCCATACACAAGAGTGGCGATAAGGACAATCCCAGCAACTACAGACCTATATCAGTGTTGTCTGTGGTCGCTAAACTCTGTGAACGCGTCGTGTGCACCCAGCTGATGGACTATCTAACCGGTCATCATATCCTCTGTGCGCAGCAGTACGGGTTCCGCCACGGCCAATCCACGGAGGCGGCCCTGCTCGATGCTGTCGGTCACATCACCGATAACATCGACGGAGGGCGCGTGACTTCACTCGTCACCGCTGACACCTCCAAGGCGTTTGACAGCGTCGAGCATGGTCGCCTCTTGGAGAAGCTGGGGTGGTACGGTATTGATGACCAGGGGTGGTTCCGTGCATGGCTTTCCGACCGCACGCAGTCAGTTAGAGGTGGATCGGGTGCTGAGCTGCCGGTGACGCATGGGGTGGTGCAGGGCAGCATAATGGGCCCAGTGTTGTTCCTGGTGTTCTCCAATGACTTGTCACAACACGTGCCGCATGGGAGGCTTGTTATGTACGCCGACGATGCCCAGTTTATAGATTCAGACTCGCCAAGAAACCTGTCAGAGCTTAAATGCCGCGTAGAACAAACCCTGTCTGTAGCTCTCTGCTGGTTCACGCAAAATAGGCTAAAGATAAACCCTTCGAAGACCGAACTGCTTATCTTGAGATCCTCACGCCAAAATGATAATGTCAACTTCACCGTCAAATTCGGCGAGTCGGAAGTCGTGCCTGTGCAGTCGGCGAGGGTCCTAGGCGTCAACATCGACTCGTCCCTGACGTGGGAGCAGCATGTGGCTGCGATCACTCGCCGATGTTACTGCATTCTGATAGGGCTGGCCAGAATGCAGCGTCGTGTGCCGCGTGAGACAAAGCAGCTGTTGGTCGAGGCACTGGTATTCCCTCATCTGCAGTACTGCATGTGCGTGTGGGGAAGCTGCACAAAGACCCAAAAGCACAGACTTCAGAGATGCATGAATTTTGGCGCCCGCATTGTCACTGGTCTTGGCTATCGTGAACACATTACCGGGACACTGCGAGAGCTTGGATGGCGGGTGATCGAGGACATGATAACTGAGCGTGACCTGTGCGTCATGTACAACCTGAACCATGTCGAGAGCGCCCCTGAGCTTCTCCGCTCACGCATCACCCACCGCTCTGATGTGTCTGTGCGTGAAACGAGAGCGACACGTGACGGCGAGCTGGAGGTGCCGCGGGCCCGCACAGAGTTTGCCCGTCGGTCGTTCTTCAATCGGGCGGTGAGAGCGTGGAATAGGCTACCGCTGAGTGCGAGAAACGCGTCTTCTCTTCCTGTCTTTAAAAAGTGTATCGCAGATGCCTTTTAACCTTTTAAAGGGTGATGCAAATGTGGATTGATAGGAAAATGCTTTTACTTGTGCTACATGACGTGGAACACTGAAAACCCATTTTATGGATGTATTCCTAAATATATGATATAATATAATGATATAACATTTTACACCTAAGGAAACCTCTGTATGGTGCCTGGTGGACCTTAAGTAAATGAATACCAATTTGAATTGCTCTTGGTGGTCAAAGTTGCACGACAATACGTCACTGGTAAGGCAGACATGAGACATAGGATGAGCTGCCATATGTGCGGGAATGCGTCTTCCTAACCAATCCAAAACAAAACAAACCTAGCCCCACCTTACCTAACCTGACCTACAACCTACTCTCTACAACCTTCAGCCTATGGTAGGTATCACATATGGCAGCTCGTGCTATGTCTGCCTTACCGATGCCATGCACATTGTGCAAAGATTCATGGGAGAAAATATTTTGGAATTGGATACCTAGAAGTTTAACTCTCCTGTAGGTAAGCACTTCGTCTTTGTATACCAATTCTGTGCTTGATTCACGACCCAAACTGAAATGCCAACTGAAATTGAAATGAGCGATCACTTCAACTTACCTTAAATTAATGTCACCGAACGTCACTAGCATGCAATTCAAGGGCATCAGGATCAGACACCAATCTCATGACAGTCACACGCTTTCAAGCAGCCTACCGTCCGTCCCTGTCAAGTTCCAAGCAATTCAAAGCAGCTTGGGGAGCTTGGGTGCACTTGAAATCACGGTATATGGTAAAGAGAACTCTTGAAATAATCTGCATCTATCATCTGCGTCGTCCCTTGGTTCATTATGGTTCATTTCTTCACTCCAAAATCATTTCAAGGCGTTCAGAATGCATGTCACTTCTTTATCAAATATAAAGAATGTGACGTCATAGTCCCTAATGGGCCTATCGCAAAATGAGATTAGAGTAAGGCAAGAAATATCAGTTAAAGACTTGAACTGAAATAAAAAGCAATATTCATTGTATCAAAGTCTTCGTTAGAGTAAGATTGAATATTGATTTGCTGATGATATCAGATTTATTTGTTCTATAATTGACATCCTTCTGACGTCACGATACGTCATCGTATCAACGTTGACTTCAATGCCGCAAAGATTCTACTCATTCTAGAGTCATGAGTCAAGACCACATAATGCATAGTTGTACAGAATGAGTCCCGAATGGGAATGAATGAATGAATGAATGAATGATTGAATGAATGAAAGTTGCAAATGAATCAAGAAGGCAATGCCACCGGAGCGAGTTGTCTTGATGCCGCCATTCGAAGTTCGAACGAACGATTTGTTTTGATTGAATTGTGCAACGCTTTGATGATTCTTTTTTTAGGTTGGTGAAATAACATGTATTAATCGCTTTGGTTGGTGAAATTGCATGCATAAATCATGAAAAACAATAGTGCGATGAATGATCCTCCCCTGGCAGCCGTTGTGGGACTAAATTAATAAACACCGACTGGCGACTGTGACCCAGACTGGGATCCCCTACAAACACTCCTACTATGGGCCTGTTCCAGCGCCTCCAGAAACCTCCAGAAAGCTCCAGAAAGCTCTAGAATCCTCCAGAGAGCGTTCCAGCGCCTCCAGAAAGCTCCAGAAAGCTCTCGCCAAAGCTCCAGAAACCTCCAGTAGCCTCCAGAGAGTTGAGAGGTCCAAATTTCTCTGGAGGCTCTGGTCTACAATTATGGTGCACATGCGACAATCACGAATGTAAACAAAAGACATTTGACTGATTATTTTACAACTTGAATGTAAAGAAAATTACATTGCTATAATTTTATTTATCTTTTTAACTAAAATTGAAAACAAATTTTGCGTTTCAAGAGAGAACAATCGTCATTCTTTTGGTATCTATGACGCCAATCTCCAGAAATCTCCAGATTGCGTTCCAGCGCCTCCAGTAAAACCTCTGGTAGAGCCTCCAGTCAAGAATTTCTTCTGGAGGCGCTGGAACAGGCCCTATGAAACCCGTTCGCTCGACGCTGGCACCTGTTGATCTCGCGTCTCCTCGAAGCCCTTCCAAGTCACATGGTCACATCGTTGTCGATGGTCACGTCTTCCGACCTTGGAACCGCCATCGCGCCGGAGTCAGTGGAGTCATGGAACAGACTAATAAGGAAGGCGAGTGTGACTACGGGCGACGACAAACCTCGACATCTCGACAAAGCTTGGCCATCTAAATAGCAGAGATCGATCGACCATAAACATTTGTTGTAACCAGTTGTAACTTCGGACCTTCGGACATATCTATCCGAACACACAATGCAGAGACGTCTTGCAGAGATCTACTATATTACATCGATTTCCAAAAGTAAACAATTTCAAATCGCTAACAACCTCAACACAGCACGCATTTCTCAATCTCAACCAATGCCGATCAATACCCACGCACGCCGCACAGCAAACGCAAAAAGAAACACGCGCACCCTAAGACGTGAATGCCCACATTCGGCGCAAAACAGAGCGGTCAGGCCAGTGTGAATCATGATATGAATTATGAAATTACCGACTGCTCAACAATAAAATGAACGATTTGTTATGCGCCGCAGATTCAACTGATGGTTTGCTGCCCAAGACAGCCAGCAACGAAACATCGATGGAAAAAAGAGGTAACGAGTCGTCTACAACATTGGTGTAAGTCAGATACAGATACCATAAAATAGAGAAAGCCAGTGAATACTGGATAATAGTAGTCAAGTAATCTTGCTGGATCATGCCCTGCGCCTCGTCCTAAAACCTCAAAACGTAGACAAACCATAACGAATTGTATCGAGAGTACATGAACCTCCAGGCTCCACGAATCAAACTATTAAAACAGTTACATTTAAGGCGTACCGGTTTCGTCTATTGACTTCTTCAGCGCCGCCTTCATACGGCGCTGAAGAAGTCAATAGACGAAACCGGTACGCCTTAAATGTAACTGTTTTAATAGTTTGATTCGTGGAGCCTGGAGGTTCATGTACTCTCGATACAATACTTGTCCATTTATAACTACAAAACCATAACGAAACTAGTAACTTTGGTAAAAAAGTACAATGAGACGTTCTTCAGATATCCACCAACTATTCAATCCGCAAAAAAGAGCTAAAATTGTTAGATCAAAATGAAAGGCTAACAACGACAAAAAGTTTCTATCGAAAACTAAAAACAAAACGTTTTAGCACAAACAAGCTCGGGTGATGTCAACACAGGCTTCACTGCACCGTGCATATTGGTTCAGATCCGTCATTCAGACCCAGGACGCGTCTTTTCCTATACCGCGCTGCTAAAACCAACAGAGCAAATATACATAACTCCGAACACAACAGAGGAGAACTTCAGTGTCACAAATACGCGTATAAATAATATGAAATTCCACGCGACGGCCAGCTGCATACCCGTAACGCAATCACTCACGTCACATAATCTTACAAAACTGGCCACAGGGCGAAAAAACATACGTTGCAGCAGCACAAACTATTCACACATAATCTGCACTGTGCAGACTTCATGATTTGCCTACTGCCATACAACATGCAACTCAAAGGTAGGCGGGAGCTGCCACATTTCCCCGTGAAAATCTCATCCAGTCAATCAGCATCAACTCCGAATAACAGTGTAGCGGCAAGCTACCCATCAGACACACATCATTCCACGACGGTACAAAAGTTACATTATCGTTATTAAACAAGGCTAGTCTGGAACAACACGACGCTAACCAACGACAAAATTGATGGATGCAAGTTTGACTTTTTCATGAACGAATTTTCCCGATCGGAAAGGGTCTACACGACAAGCTATGCTGAGCGTTGCCTCTGGCTTCGTCGATCTGCCCATTGAAAACAATTGGATTTCGGAATTCATGCGTTCAATGTCATTGATACCAGATATAAGAGATATCAGAGATATAAGATAAATGCCTGTTAATTACAATATTCATATTTATTCCTCTAAGAGGCTAGGCCTAGCTGATTTCACGACAGACTTTGACGTCATATTCTGACAATGAAAACATTTCGACCTGACCCTGTTCAGTGCTGGGGCCCTACTGTCCAAATAGCGTGGCTGGCAGACACCGGTCGCCTGCCACAGCACCAGGCCGTCTAGCCTACAGGGAACAGTCCGCTAGGCAGTGGGACGGTTAGGCAACTGCCCAAAACCAGCACACTCGTGGAAGAACAACTCTGAGGCGCCCCACCGATGTGGGTTCAATGGAGGCTGGTGGAAAAACTGCACTCAGCACAAACCTAAGTACTCAATAGGGAATATTCTCGAGTCAGTGCCGAAATTTCAAACATTTTTTTATAGCCACCGTGAGGTGAGACACCTGGCTTCAGGCCACATGATATGGTTTTAATAGCCGGCCTTAACAACGTTTGAAAATGGAAATCGGTGCTATTTTGAACCATTACTTGTACTCTACGGATAACAAATGGATATTGAAATGACTTCGCAATGATGAATATGGTGCCAACAATTACACAGGGTAAGGTAGCAGTCTAAGGCATGCCATCTTGCTGCATAACAAATATTACAGTAACAATATGTTACAGTTGTAAGTCTGTGGAAGATTCGACGCATAGTTCCTCATGTAAACATGGGAATCGGGAACACGCTATTAAGTACGTCGGGAAATCTCAACATCCATTAATACTATTGAAATGTCGTGCTTGGTAAAATCTCAATAAGTTCCTTCAATAAGTGACAAGGTAAAAACTAATACAGAAATGTAAACTGGATTCAAAGATAAGTACATAGAAATGCCAGATCAACCCTTAGATCTGCTATTGGACCCACGACAAACACGTGACCATTACGGCTGCTATAAGTAACTCAGTCATGTGAGACATTTAAGTCTTAACTCATGTAACTCACAACCTCGGCTGCTTGGCAGCCAGGGAAGAGGACCGCCTGCCGCGGCCTGGCACCGGCGGTGCCACTAAAGCTGCCTCCACACCGAGACGTATTGCTAAAGCCGTGTTCCCACCGCGGTCAGCCGATCGTCAGGCTGTCTGAGAAGTAGGCGAGAGCGAACAGGGAGAACACGCCCAGTAGGATGCCGATGTTCTGGGCGAGCAGCACGCGCAGGCCGCGGTAGACGCTGATAGAGCTGGCCTTCTCGGCCGCCTCGTTCATCTCAGGCACCTGCCGATGGGGCCGGGTGGTGTGACTTGGTGAATGGAGAGGTCAGACTAGGCCCGACTGAAGTGGTTAGACTTTGAGACAGGGGTATTAAGACTGGAGGGCAAATATGCTCATGTTACGCGGCAATGTGGCTCGGATGGGCATACTTCGAGACAAATACGACAGAAACTAGGGGAAACTATGACACATTAAAATGATGTGAAGTAATTGTAGGGAAGAACAGCTAAAGGACATCATGATGATTGGTGCCAGATAGCATATTCCATCTATGTGCCATGTTTTTACCATCCCCTCGTATTTGCTTTTTTCACCTCCTATGACACCAACTCAAGAATAGCCATGTTGTATGGATGAGTTCTTAAGTGTTCAATAAACAATAAACAATAATAAACATGTTTTGCCAATGTAGCTCAAATATAGCACTGCCACATGACGCATCTCGGACCCGCAGCGCGGCTGACACCGTAAGTTAAAGGTAGTGTGCCACCTTTGAAAGATTTCCCGTTTTATTTTTCCTAGGATAAGAAGCTTCTGTTTTTACCTAATATCGCAAAAAAAAATCAAAAATGGGGCTGGAATAGTGCCTTTTTCGCCTAAAAGTTTATCGGTTTTTAGATATGTATAACAACTGTAGTGGGCTCACCTGCAAACAGGCGTCGGGCAACAATCGCGAATGCGGCGCACTTGTGACAATAAGCAAAGGTCATTATAGTGTTACGACCATACGACGTAGGGGAGAGCGGGGAGAGTTGTATCATGTCCAAGTTGTATCAGGGCGAATTGTGCCAAACTTATCCGATGGATGGCGCTCGCGACACGACCAGCCGACGAGGTTTTCTGGGCGCCATCTTTCCCTGTTCTGTCTTGTGGCTGAGTGGACGCGTCTCGAGGTGAGAGCCGATTTTATGTTTTTTTAATGTCATTTAAAAAAAATAAGTTGCAAGAAAATGTGTGTTCTGGGCATTTAGATGTGCACGAATTTGAAAGATATCCGTGGCGGTGGTGAGGGTAGGTTCTAAGGCTGCGTGAGTGAAAACGGATTTATCCAGCTGTCCGCTGTTTTTTTAGCACGAGGATGTTTTTTCCAAGAACGCGGCTAGGTACATGTTGTATCAGAGCCGGGTGGGGTATGTTGTAACATGTATGTATGTATGTATGTATGGCTATGTTGCTTTTGATAGCGAAAGCTAAGCCCTGGCTCGCGTTTGTAGGAAGCAAGTCAATGCTCGTTCCATTTCGGCACAATGTGTTGACTTCTTTGCTCTTAACGGGCCACTTTTGCGTCTAGTCTGTTGATGTTTCGTTCGGATTGCATTGACCTAAGTTTGGTCTAATAAAGTGAAGCCTTTGAGCATACCTATACATTGTATTAACCCCATTTAATGTTGTTGTTATGTTCAAAACCAGTAGCAAGCACTCTCCCTGAAACGTGAAATAGTGATACAAATTACCCCACCATGTGATACAACTCACCCAAGCCATGGGGCAAGTTGTATCAAAAACATTGTTCTATTCGGGAGACCGTAGAAGAAAAACTGGTAGAGGTAGCGGAAAAGTTATTTTGCACAAAAAAGCAGAAGAATCAAGGAAGGGGATAGTATGGAAATAATGAGTTTATCACGGATAGTTACGAGGTTATGGGTCTCGGAGTAAAAACTGATACAACCCACCCCACTCTCCCCTACGGGAATGAGTTATCAGCTGTCTAATCGTAGACAACACAATGTCGAGCCTTAAACTGTAAGCCTGTATTGGTATTGTTTCTTAAATTTGGCTGTCGAACATTAATTTGTGGTTTGAAATATGATTTTATGTAAAATAATTGATATGAAACAGCCGTCTCTTAAGTTATGACCCCATTACACCACACGCAAGTGGCAGAAATGACAATGATCAGCTGACGCATTTTTCTTGGCCGAAGTCAGAGCGCGCGGCCCGACGCACCACGCGTATTTGGAAATTCCGACCTCGACGAGCATCAGAAGCCACCTAACAGGCGTGTTCGAAACCGCAGGAGATGATGATGAACGGGTTTATCGAAACTTGATTGGATGAGCCTATCGGTAATAGCGATTTTAGTGTGTGCATTTATTGTTCATAGTGGTGTGGAATGTGGTTGGGGTACGACCGACAACCCGTCGGGGCGAATTTCGCACTGGGGTACTCAAAATTTGAAGAATTTAAGACGTTTCCATGAGTTTTGAAGGTATGGATAAGTTCTAAAAATCCGGTTCTCCTTATCCGGGTCATTAACTCCATATGGTCCAAGAAAGCTGGCACACTACCTTTAATTACCGTATGACTTCCATTCAATGCCCCCGGGAGACCACCAAAATAGCACCCGGCCGAAATCCAATCACTCACGCCAGTCGCGACACAGAAGCCACAAATAAACCCATCACAGTGCCACATTTAACGAGTTTTAACTTCCCAGATACTACGATATCGGCTCACAGCCACTAATTCTACTCTTCCCATCAGTTATATTATGAAATAACTTTAGAGATGTACCTGATGGGCTTCCGCTGCTCTCAATCTAACTCGCATACAAACCATAACCTTACATTCAGGCACTACCCGTTCCATTCGCCATACCATGACGTCCTGGCTAAAATAAGATGGCCTCTCCCCATTTCCTACACCATTCAAATCTACCAGTAGATATGTAACCCCTCTTTCTCCTTCCATCCTTACCCCGTCGAGCCGAGCTGCACTCACCATATCCACCAGCGCTATGTAGAGGAACATGCCGGCTGCCAGGGCGAACACGAAGCTGGTCGACTCTGTGAAGTCGCCGATCAGTACCCCGAGCACCAGGCCAAGGTAGCAGGTGCACGCCGAGAGGAAGTTGTACACCACCGCCTGACGTACCGTCATGCCGGCGTCCAGAAGCACGGCGAAGTCACCTGCGGAGAGAGGACAGAGGTCAGTGAGAGAGGGAGAGTGGACACTATTGCGAGACAGAGAGGATGAGAACCTGGTGGGAGAGAGCTGTAAGAAGGCGTAGGTAATGGTGAGAAGTTGCCAGAACTATGACGTCATTCACTATGGTTTATTTTGGAGATGTGTTGACGTTGCGTAAGTAGAGACGAAAGACTATCGGCTGGAGATACAGTAAATGAGCATGACGCCCGCGTAAACACGCGACGCACGGAGTCTGTAGAGTGGGAGGTGGAAAATTAAGACGTGTTCATTTGTATATCCAATATTGAGAAACGTGTAGGATCACGACCGCTGACGTCACCTGTTTGACAAACACGGCAATACGCAAAAACTGAATGCCACGTGAGAGATACGTGGGATAGCCTGATACTACCCCGTTGCTGGAGAAAGTGTCTATTCTAAATCGGGACAATATCCTTCCTAGCATGGTCAAGCGGCGTCTCTCAGCTTACACAGCTCAGACCATTGGTTATTAGTAATACGCCACACGGGCAAGTAGCATATGGTAGCTGCACAGTGCACAACCAGCTCCGACCAGCAGCGCAGAATAACAAACAAAGGACACTGACAATAGGTTCAGCGGTGACGTGTCTGTTTATGGCGGTGCACTAATGATAAAATATATTACCAACAGTCTACCACGGCCCACGCCCCTCCTCAGCTCCCTTATAACAACAACCTACACCCGCAAGATACGGTAACCAGGCAGCAGCAAGTGTTTATATAAGTGAATCATATCGGTTCTGCACGGATGCGTGCGGCTTAGGTTAGACATATTCCAGATCTTCCGTGAATCAGCTGGCGGAGAAAACCTGACAGTGACATACTCCAGGGTCGCCTGAGTGATATGACCGCCTTCACACCGTCAGACTTAGGCGTTAAACTTAGGCGTCAGACTTAGGCGTCAGTCTTAGGCAGCAGGGTTGCCGGCTGTGGCAGCCTGTTGCCGCCAACGTTAAAATTTGAGTTGTGATACCCATCGCGTGATATAAAACAAAATGTGTAGGACTATTGTTCGAGATTGTCGACATGATACAATGGAAAGAGAAACAGCTCTGGATAAGGAAAGCCTCACATGAACCATAACTGGAAATGAATCGATACTTTTTATCAGCACTCACGACAACCCTGTGCTAAGAATATCACACTACAAACATAACCGCCTCTAGCACTCAAGCTACGCACATCCAACCCAACATTGCCACCCTGTCCAAGTCCCTGCGATCCACCTTCCTCCTCGGCCTCCACCGCTGTGCCCCTACCCACCGAGCTCGTGCGGCAGCTCCTCGCAGAGGACGGCCAGGCTGATGCTGATGCCGGTCAGGATGTTCTCGCTGAAGGCGGCGCCGATGCTCAGGCCGTCGAGGAAGTTGTGGAAGCCGTCGCCGAAGATGATCATCCAGGCGACGATGGCGATCTCGCTGGCGACCCCTGAGCCGCGGCGCAGCGCCAGCTCGTGGTCGTGGTGGTGGTGGCTGTGGGGTTTCTGGGGGAGAGCGAGAGAGATGTTTGTATACGGGTATGCAGGGTATCACTCACCCGAAAGTGTGTGATTGCACTCGGATAAACGACACTGTGAAGTTAGGGGAGGGAGCTGGCCATTCTGGTAACATGCAAATGAATTATAGAAAGCTGCAGAAAATAACGACGGTATAACTGTATGTCGATACCCGACCAATCATCGTTTGAGAAAACGGAACAAAATCAAATATGACTAACAGTAAATTTTGCCGTGATATTACGACAGCACAATCATTTAATACTTAATTAGCTATCTAGGAAAAGTTCCAGAGGTCGATGATTTATTTCGACTAAACCCACTGAAGCAAAGCGGATAGATGAGTTATCATTTGCATACACCTCCCACTATAAACCGTATGACGGAACTACTCAAAACCATACGCGGTCCCACCCGCTGCAAACCGCGTCATTTCAGGGACCGTCCATCCCGTTACATCCACCCGGGGGTGCGGTCGGTCCCGCTCCCAGCCAGGCACTGCAAGGACGCGATAAGGCACCCGTGAGAGCCGGGCCATATGGCTCACTGCAGCGACGGAGGGGCTGATTGGGCTGTGCCGGCAGCTGCGGGAATGTGATGGTAGTGGGCCAGCGAGAGGCACCGGTGGAATGGTGGCTTATAGTTACCTGGCGGTATTAGACGGAATGAGCACCAAAAAGTTCCATTCGATGATTGTTTTGTCGTTAGTTATCGCTACCATTACTACTGGTGTTTCCACCCAGGTGTTTAGTGATCCGTGGACAGCTATTGTAGCTTTGGAAAGTCAGCAAACATAATGGAGCTTGGCCGCCTTACCAGACGATGCTGTTGAAACAGTCAGCCAAGTGTCCACAGCCTGTGGTATTACATTAACATCCACCCCAATCCCTCCCTTACACCTCCTGCCCCCCCCCCCCTTTCAAAGTCGTCCTCATTCAAGCCACCGATCGCCGCGCATCACTTACCTCCTCAACCTGTCCGAACATGGCCCTCACGGGCTCCAGGTGCGTGGCTTTGACGTCCCGGGAGCTGGGCAGCACCACACCGCCACAGCCGGTGGACGGGTCGCCCACAGTGCTGCTGGAAGGACTGCTGCACGGCCCGCGCGTCCCGGGCGACTCCAGTACTGAGTCCAGGCGAGGTTCGTCCCCATCAGCAGACGACCGGCGCTGGACGGGAGAGAGGGGTCAGTGGGGAGAAAGAAGGAGAAGCTGGATCGGCGCTGAGTGGGTAGCTGAGATGACGTGCTCCGCATAATATCAGCTAGCGCAGGCCACATAACATAAAGATGGAACTTCAATCGAACAGCATATGTTTTGAAAAAAAAAACGATGGATATTGAATTCAATAATTTTGTAACACAAAAAGCCAGCAATTTTGTTTTACTCGATGTGACTTAGGCATCGACTCTAAGCAGTTTACCTTTTTGAAGTCGAGCGTTATCTTCATCAGCCTCTCTATCATGAAGAAGAACCAGGCTCCGGCCAGCACACAGAGTGACGTGTTCAGGTACCCGTGGCCGGCACCCTCTACCACCATTCCAAACGCCTGCAAACGGGGGAGAGAAATACAGTGGTGACTGTAGATAACCAACGAAACACTTCTGAGCGGAGTCAGGCCGATTGTCAAAGGCTATACGTGTTTGTTGGCCGACGCCGGTTGATCCTTTTCGTCTCAGCTCCCGGCTGAGGTCATACTCGGTGATCGGCTATCACGTAATGCGCCGCGGAAACAACCTGGCTGATGCAATTACACAGGGTGATACAATTTGGGAACACCACAACTACATCGAGTTTTAAAAAATAGTGTCTACCTGTGCCAAAGAGCTGCCTCCACAGTATCATGATTTTTTTCATGTGCCCTGATGTCTCGTTGACACACAGTCCACCGGAATCAGTCGGAGAGCTCACTGACCTGCGGTATGAGATGGAAGAGCGCACTGGACGACAGCGAACCGACCGCCAGTCCGATCAGGCCCGGCATCAGCCGCTCAAAGTTGACGCGCCCCAGCAGCGGCAGCAGCAGCACGGCAAAGATGGACGACAAGCTGATGACGGTGACGAACAGCACACCATATCCCCAGACCTCCGCCGGCGACGGACGGCTGCGCTTGGCGGGCGCCTCGCGCTTCGCCAGCCGCGCCAGACATCCCGGCTGCTGCGCCTGGTGTAACACCACCGGACATAGCCGCTCCAGGGTGACCGCCTCGGGTCCGAGTCCGTCCAACAGGCTCTGCGCCGGCACACAGCCGGTGGGCGGGGAGCCGCAGGACGCAGCGTCACAGGTGACAGCACGCTGGACGGCGGTCGCCAGACGCGTCACGGCCGACTCTGTCCAGGTAGAGTTGGGGGCGTACCGTGCCGTCAACAGCTCGGACAGGCCGGCGAGGTCGGACGGGAGAGGGTCGGATGAGGCAGCCAGCTGACTGGACAGAGGGAGCAATAGCAGCACCAGCAGAAGTGGTGAATGTCCCAGCAGCGGTGGCGACCGCCGAAACGTCATGGCGAGACGGACAATCTGCGGAAAGAAAGGGGCTGTTAGGTGCATACTAGTGGAGCTACTTATATGGACAGTGTGTTATACTGTGACTGATGGATTTATCAGTCGTCCTTGAACAGACATGTTTGTCCGCTATTGTTATATGAGGCCTTTCGTAGCCAACCTACACATAACTGTAAACTGTTGCCTGGCAATCAAATGCAGAAGGAAAAAGGCAATAACGCCGAGTACAATCGTGCTGCACGCCTTCACTCAGTCTCAAAAGCCACTTGAATGACAGATTGGACAAAACTGAAAAATCGTCAGCTTTACTGTTCGGAATGTAATTTTAGCTGACGCGATGTCGTTGGTATCGACCACACAGTTGAAATGTCGGTCTTCACTCGGACAGAAATAGGCAGATTGCACTCTGGCCGAGAATATCAACCCAGCTGGAGTGGGGTTTTCACGGAATTCTACCTCCGAGGCCCTGAGACTGCAATATCGGTAGGCTAGCAGTACAAGGAACTGTATTTTTATACAGTGATTTCACATACTGATCCGCAATAAAAACGACACAAATGATAAACGATCCGCTGCAGCAAGCCATAGTGCATTGGTAAACAAAAACAAAAATAAATAAATAAAAAGCAAAATAACAGTAAAGACCCGGTCAGATTCAAAGTATCCAAATCGTCGGAATGCTGACGAGGTCGCACGTGCCTGTCCTCCATACGTGCCGCAATGGCCGTCAAATATGAAGCACACCATAGCACGGACCACCAGGTCATGCACGCTGGACAATACCGAGCCAGCCGAGCCGACACGGTTCGGCGGCGGACGGTCGACGTGGGGTTATTCGAGCACAGATCCGGTCCCAGTCTGCCCCAGCCGTGCACCGGGCCAGTCATGAAGGCACGAGGAAAGTCGGGACCCGCTACCGACGGGAGGGCGCGGCCCGACACTGTACGATATCGTGCAAGTTAGTTGTGAGTTTTGGAGAGGGAAGGAAGAAAAGGGAGAGAAGAAGATGGAGAGAAAGAGATGGAAAGGGGAGAGAAAGACGAGAGTGCTTCACATTGCGAACAATTTTAAGTTTTAACTGTATACTATTACACAGTTAGAGACTATTCAAAAAGTTAACACGCGCAGTGGAAGGGGGGGGGCGGATTTCGCCCACCCCTCCTGTTTTTCGCCAATAACTCGCGCCGCAAGCATAGTATCAATGTGAAATTTCGGCTACCTGTCCAGAATTGAATTGCGGATCTTCTCGTGCAAGAAGTAAGAAAATCGGTTCACAACTTTTCTAGTAATAGCGGTGTAAAGTCAAACATCCTGCCGCCGCCGCGGCGCGGCGGCGCGGCGGCCGGCGCTAGCCGTTACGCGCCGCCTGAATTGTAGAGTGTAGACTGCCGGGGCGGGACGGTTCCGTCTTTACATCGCGCTCCTTACCGCTGATGATATTAGATTCGCGTCAAATTCGGTGAGAAGACTGAGAAATGTACAGGCAATCATATGGTCAAAATTTTTTGAAAATCGGCCGGTAACAACTTGAGTTATGAGTGTGTAAACCAGGGTTGTGCTCGACTCAAAAAAATTTGCCGACTCGACTCATCATTCAACTTCAGAAAGCCCTGACTCAACTCTGACTCAAACAAGGAGCTGATTTTTCCCTTGACTCGACTCATGACTCAAGCGGCTCAATGAAAATGTTAGTTGACTCAAACTTGACTCAATTTTTTTTGTTGAGTCAAGTGTGTTGACTCAAAATTGACTCAGATAAAAAAGTTGTTGAGCGGGGGGCGGGGGTGAAAAAAAAATCCGGCAGCAGGGCCAGGCCTAAGTTGTTAAGCGGGGGGAGATTGAAAAGCTTATATATTGTTTCTAGAAAGATGAGTCAGCTGACTCATGTTCCTAAATGTTTTTGACTCAACTCAATGTCAAAAGTTATTTTACTGACTCAACTCTGACTCAACTCAACACCTTAATATTTTTGTCTGACTCAACTCTGACTCAACTCAACAGCTCAACATTTTATCCGACTCGACTCAAACCTGACTCATCTGAGTCAGAGTTGAGTCAAATCTCTGACTCGACTCATGAGTCAAGCACAACCCTGGACTGTAAACACAAAATTGTGATTGCCGCGTTTCCCGCGTCGGCCGATGCCGCTTCAGCCGGCGACATCTCACCCTTAGCAGGCTTCTAACTGCCATATTTATTGTTGGATTATCTAGAAATTCACCATACATACTCACAAATGTTTGTTCTTTCGTATAGTGAAAGTTTTAAAAAAATCGGCCGGTAACTTTTTGAGTTATCGGCGTGTAAACGCAAAAAAGTCGCTAATATGGCAGATTTGACCACATTTGACCTCATTTGACCTTGAAGATATTGACCTAGTGTCATGAAATTCACACACAACAGAGTTCCCCATGGCCCCCACCTACCCTCCAAATTTCGTCTTTCTAGCTCCAGTGGGAGCTGAGATCTTAGGGGGGGGCGACATCCGCCCCCCCCCCCCTTCCACTGGGCGTAGTACTCGCAACTAGTGGTGTCAATCGGTTACCAAAATTTCGGTATACCGATACCGAACCAATACCGATTCGGTATTCGGTATTATATACCAAAAGCATTTGGTATTTTGTCGGTATCATGAAAATCAACTACTGTCATAAAATATTTGAAAGCATTTTTGATAAACCTTCTGAACTTAAATTTGATTTTCCTAAATGACACTGGATGAAGAAAAATGGCAATCATGACACATTTCTCCCAAATGCATGATGTCCTAACAAATGGGCAATCACATCAACTGTAATATCAAATACATTCAGTCTACCAATGTTAAATGGCAACTTATCAGTGTTAGTAAATTCCAATACCATGAGGATAATTATCCTACAAAGAAAGCCAATGTGCAAGACATAAACATGAATTAATGTTTAACTCACTGTATGCTGGAAAACATACTTAAACTACCTTTCTCAAAATTTCCAAAGCATTTATTAGCAACAAATTTGACTTTGTTTTGAGGAGTCTGTGATTGATCTTGACCTTGTCTTCCTCTCCATTTTACTGCAATGCAATTACATTATCCAAAACCCTGTTTAATACAGCACTAGCTTCACCATTATCATCAAATATTTGAGGCAGCATTTGTCACTTCATCGTCACCCGCATCACCCCACAAATCTTCAACTTCGCTGAACTTCAAAAAGCCTTGTAGTGAGCGATGCTGTCATGATCCTGTGGATAATTTATTTTCTTCAATTAGTGTTCTCTTTCCTGCTCTCTCAACAGATACAGATCGCTAGCAATTTTATCATAAGCACTTATAAAATATGATTGGCTTTTGGCTTGACTCGCACACAGCAGTTTCCAAACTGAACACATCTAAAAACATTTCAATGTCGCAGCTGCGCCAGGTTGAGGAACCGATATAGCTCAATAATTAATTGAAAATAATTGAACAACTATGTTTTTCTGGTGCTTCATGTTTCAGCAAAAGCGGCCTACAACTTTCTTGAATTAATTTTAAGATGTCAAAATTTAAACAAGGAATTTTGATTTAAGTGGACTTATGCAAAAACGAAAAGAAAAACTTTATTTTATAAAGTTTAATGCAAATGGCCGCCGCCTGTAAGGCCGCCATTATGGAAGAGATGACACGTGACGTCTGTCAATGCTTCCGTAAAATTATGGACATTTTACTTAGATTTCATCGCGATATCATTACAGTGGTGTCTGCTATCTATCAGTGTGCCTCGTAAGTAATTATTTATCAAGTTTTGTTGTGTTACACATTTGTTTATGAAGAAAAATTGGCTGCGTCAGTATCGTCACCAATCACCATGCTACTTGGGTTTAACTGTAGGTATCATGGGCTTTGTTTACATTAATGGTGTAGCCAGCCCAAAGTGTAGCCCATCATTGTCAATTGGGTCACCACTTTTGGATCATGATAACACACTTAACCCTGTCTTGACCGGACTCGAAATGAATGACTTGAATTGAAAGAAGGTTTGATGGTTCAGGCATGGACAAGATTCAGGGTTCAAATTATTTTCCTAACACCTCATGCAGTTGACTTGAATCCACATTCCAGTAAAATAACTGGCCTGAATATTTGTTAATAGTTACAAAATAAGTTATAAATGTTTTTTTTGCAATGCAAATAACTAACAGATTGCCTGATTTGTTTTTGTTACCTTATTTCAAAGTATTAGGTACCTTTCAAGGGTTATCATATGTCTTGAGAAAGTTTGAAGCATTTGTTTGATTAATTCCCTGATTTCGGTATCTAGTCGGTATTTCCCCCTATTTCTGAAAATCGGTTCGGTTTTGGTATACTCTCAGTGGTTTTGGTCGGTATCGGTTTGGTATTGGTTTCCAAAATTTCTGAAATTGACATCACTACTCGCAACCCTTCCACTGCGCGTGTTAAACATGCAGCTGTGTGCGACAATGTCTATATACAACCGTCTCGCCAGTCGTCACTCGTCACCCGCCTGCCCGAGACTCCACGAACCATGGCGAGAGAAAGCAAACAGTTCCGACTTACAGCTGAACCCTGAATCCGATGATCTTAGCACTGCGTTACAAAAAGGCACAGCCACGAAAGTCCAAACAGGGCACTGTGTCGTGGGCAAGCGAAAGCAGTGGTGATATTCAATCTAAACAGTCTTTGACCAAGATCTTCTGATGCAAAAAATGATGTTGCACGGCTTAGAAATTGCCTGGTTCGCCGCGTGTCTACATGGACACACTCAGAGCAAATCTTGAAAGATGCATCTGGACGTAAGTGCTGTCTCGGCCTCTTTATAATACCATGGCTATCTTCCAGGGCTCTGCGTTAGGGCCGCTTCTTTTCACCATTTTCTCTAATAGCTCGTCGCTATACGCGGGCGACGCAGAAGTGTTTCAGTATGCCGATGACACTCAATTATTGGTTAGCGGTCCAGCTCGGGATCTCGAAGTTCTCATGTCGCGCATGGAGGATTCGTTCGCGTCACTCGCGTCACTCAACGACTGGTTTT